AAAGCATAGTTTTTTTATTTCTTTGCTAATCCTTAAATTGTGGTATATGCCACACAGCACAAGGACAGGCTTTTTCTGTTACCAATTAGCACTGTCAATCCAGAGCCCATGGAAGCCTGGAGAACATCCTCCTCAGTTTTTGCTTGCTCCTGACAAAGCTTGTCAGCCATAACACTACAAAAGGAATTTCTGCCATTTCCACTGGTTAGAGTGACAGTGGGATTTTAATTTTTACCTTATACGGRTGGACATAATACGACTGAGCAATGTTTAGTGATCTGTGGGTTCCTACTATTACACTTGTAACTGTCCTCTCCGGATCATTAACTGTTTGTGAAAGGGCTGGTGGTGTGCTCCCTTAGCACCACATGTAAATGGAAGAGGCAGAAGCAGAAAAGCAGTCAGCTCTTCAAGAAGTGTTTGGAAAATGGTCTGAGGCACATGGTGTGAGTCTTGGGGTATCCTGTGCTGATCTTCGTGGGTTCTTTCMCACAGGGTGGGGTCCCAGTGATAGCAGTGCTGGGCTTCCTGGTGCTCAGGACATTGGGGTATGGAAATGTTCTAGCCAGAGACTGAGGAACTAGGCTGAGCTTTCAGTGGAATGCTGTGAAGCATGGGTTAGTTGGGAGATGCTCCAGCTTCATCTAACATTCTTCCAAGCCCTATTTGTATGGGGAGCAGTAACAGGAGCACGTAACTGGTGTTCAGAGCTGTTATTCCAGTCATTTTTCTCTGATATGCAGGAGAGAGCTGACACAATGCATGGATAGTCCCCCACGTCTGCATACCCTTAAAGCATAGACCTCTGCTGCACATGTGTTCTGTTGGCAGTTTGTTCCTTACCTGGAAGAAAAGCGTGAAGGCACTGGCGAGCGTCCTTAGCATGCAAGGTTTTCCTTGAGTAGCACCCTGTGACCAGCTGGAATGGGACATTTTCAGCGGCCCAGCTTTCAAAGTTTGTTGCTTTCTTGCTTTTTGCTCTCATTGTCCTCTTGCACACAGTTCTTTCCTATAATATTTTTCACAATACCCGCTTCCTGTCTCCTCCCTTCTGAGGAAGCTGTTCACTGTTACTTTAGGTTTTTCTATTTACAAACTGTTGTTCTGCATCTGAGGAACCTGCTGTTCCTACCAGTCCTTCCTTCTACTGTTAAAAGCAGACACCTCCGCCTCACCCCCAGCTTCACAGTGCTTACAAGGGAAGTGTCTCCACTTCCTGTGTAATGTAAGAGAATCTGAGATCATATCGGTGGGTAATTATCCATCTTATAAATACTTCTCAACCACCCAGCAGCCTTTTATCAATTTAGGCTTCTCTTGGAAAACGGGTCTGTTACACACAATTGCAAACCAAACTCAGAGAAGAGAGCTAAAAGCACATTGGGAATAGGAATATGACACATTCCTAGTCAGTGTTGCACTCRCACTGATGGAAACTGCCCCATAATTATTCGTGGCATATTTACATTTGAAGTTCTCAYTTAAAACTGTATTTGAATGGGAACATTGGTATAAACAGTGCTGATAGACCATCATGGAAAAATGCCTCTTTCTGTAACAGCTGGCATTCTRTACTTCTGTGATCTAGGCTATGTGTTACTCTTAAAATTAATCCTGACTATGAAATGGAATAGGGAACACAAGCTAAGGCYTGGCTAAGAATAATTTGTTATGTAATAAGTACAATGGTAAGAATATATCAAAACCTCCACTCTATGAAGCGTGGTAGGCATAGGAATTCTTCTCATGTTTCCTTTCCAACCTACGGGTTTCATCTGCTGGTATCTTTCAGATTTTTTCAGATTTTTCATTTGTTTGAAAGCAGCTGTTTATTTCTAGAAAGTCTGATGGGGAGAGAGAAGTTCTTTTGATCAGACTGCATGCACAGTGGTGACAGCACTTCAGAAAATAAAATGGATTGCTCAAAGACATGTACTGATTTTGGAGAAAGTCCTTGATAAATCAGAGGAGCAAAAAAAAACGGATTGGGCAAGTCAAACTGTAATTTTAGATGGTAATAGGCTTCAGATACAGGGATATAAAATCCTTTGATCAGAATTGCATTTAGTGGGAAATCCTTTCTTCTGTCTTTGTTCCCTTCCAGGTAAAAGATAACATTCTCAGTGGAAGCAGTTAAAAAGGCACACTTCAAAATACTGCATATGACTCATATATAATTGTTTCACAGTTACTGAATAGTAACTTCTGGATATTGGAAATCTAAAATAGTCATGTTGTCAAGTAAACTAGGTATTCCATTTTATTTTCTACTCTATTTTATTGCCATTTGGAGCACATACCGACTCAGTTACCTGGGGTAGTGAACACTAAAAAAATAAATTAAAAAAAAACAAGAGATAATGGCTTTCAGCTACATAGGAGTGGCCTCTCATACATCTAGAGTTGCCATTTTCAAATATTCCTTCAAGCTTTTACCCTAAATGTATTTTACTTCAAAATGAAATAGAATTTATCTTGAAGCTTTCAGAACTGTTATTTCCTATGGAAAAGCAGTACCACTTTCTTTCTAGATTGAATAGGGATAGCARGCATCTGTCAAGTCTCTTCACAGAATTTTCATGGTTTTGTCGTGGAGCTTAAAACAAGTAAATGCTTTGAAAATGGTTGCGCTTATCTTGTTGATTTGCCAAACCTTTGCAGGAATCACTAAGAATTAATTCCTGGAGCTTCCAAGTTCACTGCTGCTAGTCACATTTCAATTTATTTCTGAGAAGAGGCTGCCCAGAAAAGCTGCTGTAGTAACATCATCTGCTAACATCATCACTTTGTGAACATGGATTTTTTATTCTCTTGAATTAAATCTCCAGCCTACATGGGAAAACAACAGCAGATGGCACCACATTCTAGTGATGSTGAGTAGATGACATGCTGCTAGCAGGGACAGCTCACCTCAGGACTAGGACTGATGCTTTGAGATTCCAGGTTGATGCAAGATTTGTGCAGAAAGCCAATGTGTTACAAGTGCTGCGAAGCTGCAGGTATTACTGTGAGGTAAGAAATCYAATTGTATTCTGAATTCAGGTACAACGATCTAAGAAAATTGCTCTGTCTGGGGAAGCTTAATAGTGAAACGGCTTCTTTTTGTATGGTCTTGCACAAATTAGCAACATAGAAGCAGGGAGCAGCATAGATTCCCCTAGCACTTAACAGTTCTTACAGTCTTGCAAAGTTGTTACTTTTGAAACCTTGGAATGCCATTTTAGCAATAAAAATAGCAGTACCAAGTCTTTATGGAGTCTCCTTGTCTTCACTTAAATGTTACTACTCATTCCAGAAAGTCAAAACACCATTGTTAAAATCCTTTCAGTATCTTTTTAGTGTCAGTGTTTGATGGAGACTCTGTTCACCACAATGCAATAGAATTTGTAGTCTTCCAAATTTTGGTACATTTTCCGAAAGAAAACTTGTAGGCTTGATTTTGGGTTTGCAGGCTTTTTTCAATTTTTATTTGGTCCCCTCTCTTACTTCTCGTAGACTGTAGACTAATTTAATGTTTCCATTTTAAGATGCTAAGATACATGTAAAATAGTGAGAACCTTCCCTCAGTCCAGGGTGTTAACAGCAAGACCTCAGTCCCTGCAAGTTAGTAGACAATTGAAAAGTTAATTTTTTTAGCTCTGAAGGATTTGTCTTCTGACTACTCTTACACCCATGTATCTAAGCTATTTATGATAAAAAAAAATCTTGAGATTACCATAAGAAAGCCAACCCCATGTCAGCAAACTAAAGGAAAATGTTACTGTGCAGTGGGACACTTAATAAGCAGCAAATACAATGGTAAGTCATTAAGGAGCAAGTCAAATGAGAGATCCAAGTATCTCTGTGAATTTATGCATAATTACCAAAAAATATGCAYCCTTTTCATAACACATGGAAAAAAACCCCAGTCCTTGCAGGTGAGAATTAAATTTAAAGGTTTTAACTGTTTGCTATGCTAAAGCAATTAGCTAAGAAAAAGAGAATGGAGACAGGAATCGTAAGATGGCAGTATTAAAGTGGGGTTTTTTTTAGTAATTCAGGGTTTTGATTAATTTAGCAACTCTTGGAGGCCAAGTTTACCATTTCTGTGACTGTCACCCAAATGATGGTTATTCTTCCAGTCTGTGAAAAATRGGGCTATGCATAATCTGGATTCAAGTATCAAGTGAACATTGATTATGGTCCTTGTTACAAGTATAGGAAACAAAAACAGGAATTCTGAGGGCTGCGTCTAGTCCCTGCACCCATTGCCAATAGGTAGTGAATCCACAATATTCATAGTTTCAGAGCTTTCATATAATTTCACAACACAGTGTTTTCTATCTTAATTCTTCACCAAAAGGGTAGTTGGTCACTGAACATAACAGGCTTCCCAGGGAAGTGGTCATGGTACTAAGCCTCTGAGAATTCCCGGAAGGAGCATCTGGATGATGCTCTTGGTCACATGGTTTAGATTCAGGTTGTATTGGGAGGAGCAGGGAGTTAAGACTTGATGATGCTTACAGGTCCAATTGAACTTGATGAATCTMTCTCTGACAGAGAATACTACAGCTAAGGGCAGCAGTACAGAAAACTGAATTACAGAACCCTTATATATCACTTCCAACTTTMTTTTGTGTTTCAGCTAAATCCCGTGCACCAGTCATAGGAGATAAATGACAAATTCTGAACAGCTCACCTCATTAATGTACCTATATGAAACACAGGACACTGGCTGTAGGTGATCTGTTCAGCTGCTGAATATAATTGTTTATTTTAACTAAACCATTTCCTGGGGTTCTGAAACAAGTTCTCTCTACTTAAYATTTCGTCAAAATAAATTCTAATTGTTCTGCATTTGTATGCATTCTGTTCAGGCATGTTGCACACGGAGGGTGCTATATAAAACTGAACTAAGTTACATACATTTTCAGTCACACGATTCCCATAATAAACTGTTCCCTTTTATTTCATACCTTCAGAGGATGCAGCCCCACGGAATTAAGACTTTCATCCAGTAGTGCAGTTTCAGTACTTTATTTCAAAAGTCTCTTAATAGCTACTTTAAAACAAGAGAACAATTAAATGTAAAGTGTTCTTTATTAAATAACCTCAAAAGATAAAGCAAATTGTGTGGTTAAGAAAAATAACAACGTGGCCAAAGGATTTTTACAGCAGAAAACAAATTGYGGCAAATGAGCATTTCAGTCTAGCAGCCAAACTGTCCTCATTTTTATGGAGTTAATTTCGGTCCTCAAATTGTGACTTGTTTTTTAAAAGATATGCTGCTAAAAATTCAATGGGGTTTGGCGGTCTGTAAAGAAAAAAAGTAAATCAAAAGCCATTATGTTTTGTTATATGAAATTAGGTAGCTGAAGACTAATCATCTTCCTTAAAAGCAACGCAATTCCTTCCAAACACCTGTAAACATTGATCTAGGGATGACCAACTACCTTGAGTGACTCTGTAAATTTCCAGTTTATGTCTGATGAGAAAGTTTCTAAAAAGGCATCTTAGTCACTGTTGGTTCAATGCTACTAAACTGCTAGAACATTTACATACCTAAAAACAGGGCGTAGTCTGCAAGCATAAATACTGTAATTACATCATTGGATATGACATGCATTTGCCTATTTTAACTCATGCTATATAAAGTAAAAGTGAATCTCTGCTTTTTTGCCTCATTTTCTTTAAGTGGTTATTTTATAGCTTTATGTGTTAAGAGTAGTTTTCATGGTTTCTGGCAACTGAACACAACAAAACTTCAAGTCTGAGAAATGCTGTAACTTACAAGTAGTCAAGAATAAACACTTTTGATCACTGACCATAGTCTGTAGTTTTTTCTAAAAAGCTCTTCCAGCTACTCCACATGAACCCTGCTAATCTGGATTCTGTCCACAGAATAAATGACAAACTTACTTATTCCACACTATGTCAAACCAAAGGTCTGGCAGTGAACACATATGCCTATAAAGAGCATAAAAGCCAGAAAAAAATATGCAGAGATGCTTCTCTGGACTGTCCTTTTGGCTTCCAAGCATGTACCAGTTTCTGAGCTAGCACCTTAATAGTCCTCTATAGCTTTAACCAGTTGCCTCCTGAGCACAAATAAAATGTTAATGTCCCTCAACTGAAAGCAAGAAAAAATAGCTTAATTATGTGACGTGTGAAGGATCAACTCCTTTCATTCATTATAAATTTGCTACCTGCTTCGCTTATTTTCATTACTGAATCAGAAGAGATATAAACAGTCCATCCCAATCCATCATGTCTTTGCTGCTGTGATTTAACAGGTTCCTGATATATTCTCCCACAGAAGCCTCTCTTCTGGATATTGTCTATTCAGTGGCTCCATATACAGATAGCACTCCAGARTTCTGACAACCTTGTCACTCTCACTTTTTCACATTCTACCAGAATACAGGGCAATTGGCACTACATGTAATACCAGAAATACAAGAACATTACAAATTCACATAGTGGCATTACACTTGATTTTTACCCCTTTRAGTTGGTTTTATCCCTTCAAAGTCATATCATTCAGAATTTATTTTTCATTAAAACAGTATTGACATGTAACAGCATAAAGATATTTTTTCACAAGAGTAATTGTCAGYTCAAAATCTAACATTTTGTCACTGGTGTTAGCCACTACCCTCCCAGCTCCACAATTTTCTGTTTATTTGGATTCAATGTCAGTTTAAATTTTTCATGGCAGTTTTCACCGTTTTATGYGCAATTATTTACAATAGATCAACTTAGAAAACAGAAACTGAAACACAAAACCCCCCTAACCTATTTTGTAAAACTCATTAACAGCTTTTGTCAGCCATTTCTTCAAATTGTTGTAAGTGATCTTTTCCAGGATTCTAGAGTTGAGCTCATTACACCATGAAAATTCAACATTTATTTCTACCCTCTATCTCATATCTTCCCATGAGTTCCAAACCCATATAAAGGCTTTTCSTTTAATGACCAACAGCAACTAACTCTCTTTAAAAGCTGTTAGTGAATAACTATGCAAAAAGATTTTTGAAAAATTAAAGAGACAGACTGCATCATCTGCATTCCTCTTAATGTATGCTTGCTGACTCCTTCAATAAACTTCAAGACACTTAAAAGACCTGACAAAAATTGTGTTGACCTCTTCCCAAATGTGTCATTTATCCATATGCTCACTATCCTAGATGGTAATTTTTACTTAATTCCAGGCATGATCGTCAGATGTACTGGGCTGTTCCCTGAAYGTTTCTATATTCCTTAGGAAAAGAACAACATCCACTAGTTATTTTCCAGTTCAATTTTAAGCAGAAGATTATACAGCAGAGCTGACAGTTCAGCTTTGTCGCTCCTGAGGGTTTATTATGATCAGCTAAATAGCCAATTTGATCTGGCAGGTTCATACTGTTTTTTACTTATGTGTTCCCCAAACCCTGTTATAAATGATGCAATTTCATTCCAGTCTGAGTCCCCATAAAAAACTGTTCCTTCCATAATGAAGGTTTACAAAACAAAAAAAAAAAAAGGAAAAGGAAAGAAAAAGTTTGCCTGTCACACAAGTATTCAGCGTGTGAGGGTGGGGTATCAGCCTTTGGCTGTGTAGAACTCCCACAGATGTCAGCTGAAGATCTGCCCATCCCTCAGGTGTGCATMCAGGGTGGACCTTCCTAGGTGCCTAATTTTGCCTAGTTAATTGTCTGTACAGTGCAGTTCAAAATCCCAACTCCTTTTGAAGTTCATACACTGTTGATGGTTGTTGTGACTGTAGGTGCCATGATGTAATTATGGTCATCTATACCAGCTTTTGATTGTATTATTTTGGTTTGAGAGATGCAGTTATGCATTACAYGCGATATGATTTGCCACTAGTGAGGATACACCAAAAGGCTAGAAATTAATTTGGTTAAGATGAACACCTCTTTGCTGTTATTGAAGGGACACCCTTCTACCCTGACTGGTAAAGAGGTTGGGGTACCTCAATAACACAATCTTCACTGAGAGGGTAAACCTCACCAGTTAGAAAGTATTTTAATCTCTGACAAAGAKGCATGTCATGCCTGATTTGTCTTTCTTTTAAAAGTCAAGCAGAACTCTCTGTAATTCCATACTACAAAAATCTTCACAACTAAAACATCCTCTTGCCTTGCTTCTCTAAGATGAATTATGTGATAAAAATAGTAACAAAATTCCTCCCATTTTTCCCTCCAAAACTGTTGCAGTAGCATACCTCACTGAGACATCAATAAATATGAATTCAACAAATAACTCTTATCATGCCACATGCCCCTAAATGAGGAACACATTCTGCATGGCCAATCACACTAATTCATTGTCTCATAAAAGTGCTGTAACAATGATCTTACAAAGAGCAAAACCATGTGTGGTGTGTGTGAGCCCTGAAAGGTGCTGCATAGGCCAAGTTTGAGACCTACATTTTCCTAGGAATAGAAGAAACCCTGAAATACCTTACCTCTCTTTTGCAAGAACAGCAAGTCCCTGTAGCAAGATAGGTACAACTGTCTGATCCAAGTAGGCACGTGTGGGTAATGACTGAAGATCCACCTTCTGCTTTGATGTTTTCTCAGCATTTAGTTTCTCATTTTCTACTATCCTCTGAAGTAAAAAAAAAAGTGAATGAACACTGGTAATTGCAGCCACATCTACTTTGAAGTATGTGTGCAAAGTACCCATCTCTGCAGTTCACTGACAGTAGCTTTTTTCATCTTTTAAGAAAATTTATATATTTTTCCTTGCACAAAAACCCAATACAGAAGAACCTTCTGTTAAATTCTGACATTTTGGGGAAAAAGTCTGTTCAGAAGCCATAAATTTTCTAAAAAGACATCCAATCTCAGTAATTTTTATTTTTGCTTTTGCATTCACTGATTTGAACTCTATACCACTAAGGCAGGAATAACCACTAGAGASAGTCTCAGTTACATGGTTCCTGTACATATGTGCTTCTAACACAAAATGCTAAAAGCACAAGGAATTCAGGTGAAGGAATTCAGGAAGTCTGACGAAGAAGACTCTGCTAAAGTCAAGTACTTAGAGATTGAGCTCTACTGAAGTATAGATGAACCGTTTCAGGAATACATATGCAAAATGCTTCCAGGTAATTTTTGTTACCGGGAAGTAATTTTTGTTACCTGATGATGTTCAGCATCAAAAAATGCTGAATCCTCTCACACCATTAACTATAGTTAAAAAGTGATACCCTACCACTGCCAGTAAACCAAACGTTTGCAACAGATGAATCTACTGACACGGGACCAACATCTTACGGTTCTGTAGTGGAAGCTAAGGCACAGAAACAAGCGATTATCAAATGAGTCACAGAAGATGTTTAAGAATACTTTCTGCAAAAGTTTAGAACAGAGTAGGAATTTATAATAAAGGGAGTCTGAAGGCTTTTTTTTAATAATGAACAGTAAATAAATGCCATAGAGTTAGGAGGTGATTGTCCTGGCCTGCTCTGCACTGGTTGAGCCTCGTGTGCATGGCTTTTTTTGTGGCATTAACCATCTATCTCTCACAGATAGCAACAGAATAGATAATAATCATAAGATACTTCAAAAAAACCCAACTCATTAAAAGGTTCATTATTTACTTCAGTACTATTTAATAAAATGGAAGCAGCACAACAGAAAATATATTTACAGCCATTTACACAAGGCACAGGTATTGCTTGGCTCAGYTGGGAATATCACATTTGCTGAATTTAGACTCAAAATTCAACATTTTTTCCCCAATCATAAATGTGACTTTCACTGCAACAAAATCTTTGTTACCTCTACATTTTCAGTGAGACCATATTCAGAATGAGGATTTTCCGGAACCTGTAAAATAGCACATGGTTAGCAAAGCTAAAATGCTCCTTTTACACATATAACACTATGCACATAAAACATTTCTTGTAATACCTGTGGCTGTCCCTCCATAATCTGTTCTCCCTCCATGACTTGTAAAGTGAAATTTGCTGGACGTCCAGGAAAATCTTGGAAAGCAATTAAAAAACTGGTCAGCAGGCTGAGATGAAGCCCAGTGTGAGTTAAGTGATATTGCATCACTTAGTTACTAATAGTTACTAAGGCACGATTACTAGAGAGCAGAAGGAGTTGGTCCGTGCTCCCCCCCGCGCCAAACTTAAACGTTTTTCCCGCACGAGAACCGAGAAATGACTTTTAAAGTCTCGCGTTACGCCCGCTGAGGAGAGCAGCAGAAGGATTAGACAACATAGCATTCATCCCCGCGGGAACCCGGAGACGTCCCTTTCCTTCCCTCCCTCCTTCCTTCCCTCCCCTCCTCCGTCCGTCCCTCCGTGCCCACCACCCCACCGCACGCCACAGCGCCCCGAGACCCCCGGAGGGCAGGGCCGGGCTGGGGCCGCACCGCCCTCAGCCGTGCCCCAGGCGCCCCAGGGGGAGAGGCGACCCCGCCACAGCGCTCTCACCGCCGGTCGGTCCGGGATAGGCGTGGCACCGGGATGGGCGGGACACCTGGATCGGCGGGACACCGGGAGCCGCTCCGCAGCAACCGGAGCCGCTGTCGCGAAATGTTTTGACGTCAGTGAGGCGGTCGTGGGGCCGCCTCCAGCGCACTGCGCCTGCGCGGGCCGGGTGCGCCCCGCCCAGCGGCCGGAGCCTGCCGGGGGGAGGGCGGAGCGGGGTTTGTGTCTGGGTGCTCCGTCGGGAATGAAGCTGGCGGGATGGGTCCACCTCTAMAGCAGTCTTTGAAAAACTCTGGCGCCTGGGGGATTTTTGGTAGAGAAATGTGCTCGTAATCAGTGCGGCGTAGTGTCTGAGGAGGTCACTGCGGTGTTCRCGAAGAATAACAWTGCTGAAGTTAATCTRGGTCTGAAAGTGGGGYTTTGTTAGCGAAATAACCTTCCGGAGCTGCATAGGGTGTGATTTGTACAAGGGTGACTGCTGGCCTTTATTTTTTCTTCACAAAATCGCAGCTGACCAGCTTTCTGCAGGGATCAGCTCCGGTCATCCTGTCCTTGCTTGAAGCTGTCAAGGAAATGGAAGAACCTGCTGCTTCTGTAGCTGTCKTGCTGTTACAAACTGTACCAGTATTTGGAAATCTGTGCCTGAATGTTTTGTTTTCATTAAATTTGAGGAAGAACTAATTTACATTAAAGGTGGCAGTGCACTGGAACAGGCTGCCCAGGGAGGTAATGAAGTCTTCCTCTCCGGRGATGTTCCAAACCTAAAACCTACTTGGATGTGTTCCTGTGTCACCTCCTTTTGATGACCCTAGCCTTGGGACTAGATGGATGGACCAGATAATCTCCAGATCCTTCCAATCCTAAAGATTCTGTGAATTCTTTGTCTGGTAATGGCATTTGTGCTAGTGAATTAAAAGGCCGTAAGAAGATTTTTTTGGGGGGTTTGACTTACAAAGTAATTTCATTTCTGTAGGTTTTTTGTTAGGGTTTGTTTTTTTTTTTTTTAAAATAAACTTTTTTGTTGTTTTAAAAAAATAATTCTAGTTCTTTTTGTGTCTTCTTGCTGCAGTCATGACGATGCCTATGAATGATCTAGTTGACGCACCTAGATGATTAGTGAAATGCAGAAATAACAGAAAATGCCATGTTCTCAACAGACTGCTCTGATGTAATCATCGAGTAGTGGTAGTAATGAAGTGTGTGTGCATAAATRATTTTGAATAATGTTTGCAGAACTGACAATGTTGCCAGTGTGATAAGCAGGCTCAAGAACTAGTGCAGTCACAGATTTGATCGTCAACTGAAGGACTTGGAATTAGAGCAGAACTGTGTCCTKTCTTTGTGTCTATGTTAGTACCTCGTGTTGGCAAACTTACCTCATGCTGAAGAAACAAGGTGAAAACACTGAGATTTCTGTACTAAAACTTAGAACAGGAATACAAATTTTTAGTGTGAAGAGGTATAAGCTTTTCAGTACATTTTGAGTCTCCCTCYTAATTTTTCATCATGTYCTAGTAATGACATTTTAGAGAATTYGATTTAGAATAYCTGAAAATTGCCTAGCCCTGTTTCCCMATTAATATATTCTCTTTTATATTCAGGTTTTGCAGAAAGATCATGTTGGGAATGAAAAAAGGTTTTCCAATTTACCTTTTTGCGCAATGGTATGTCATGGTCTCAGGGTAGTCGCACCTTTCTAATTCCTGTGAGTGTAATGCTGATCTGCTCAGATTACCAAACATTTTGCTGAGACACCTGATTGTACCTCCTGGATTACACAAGTCCTCAGTCTTAAGAGCATGTCAACAGTTGCTCAATCCAGAAAATATGGCTTCATTTCTTCCACACCTTGCTGGTGTTCATCAGAACACTTGCTCAACCAGAATATCTCACTAACCAGCAGAAATCCACCTGCTGCTGATGTAGTTTAAGGGTTTGGGTTTTTTTCAAACTAGCATTAATCTTATGCCAGATGATTAATAATTAGAATAGTTCACTAACAAGTCCAATGACTGCTAGTGTCATCTTAATATAGGAGGGTAGAGAAATTCAACTTGCAAAACACTAAAATGTTTAGTAACAGTAAATGGGTTCTCTAGGTTTTCACTAAAAGCATTAACACTTTCTCACAATTTCTGACTGATGTCTGCTTTTGAAGCTGTGTTTTGGTTTAACGTGTTATTCCCTTAATAAATGCACTCTTATTGTCATGATACAGTCATGGAATTTACAAAGGTGTCCTTTTAAATTTTTTGAAAAATAAAAATGATTGCATAAATTGACTAGTCAAGATTGACTGAGATATGTTGTCTTCTATTGCTTTTAAATCTGTCCTTGTTAATAAACTTATTCCTTTTMTGACTTCTGTTTTGCTCAGGAATGGGAAGATACTTTAGATGGAAGTGGGACAATAAAGACAATAGATCAATAACCCATTGTTGTGGGACTTATTTCACTTCACATTTTTGAATGCTATTTAGTATTAAATTTCTGGAATTTCTTTGTTATTACAAAAAATGTCAAACCTTTATATCAGGAAATGAGATTTTTTTAAAGAACAGTTAAGTACACTGGGAAAAAAAAGGATGCTAAACTTTCTCCAGTCATGAGTGGGCCGGAAAATACTTGATAATATTTTCATAATAGAAGTACATAACCTTTCTTACAAAACACAGAAGAAAAATACTTTATGTACATCACTGCATTTTTTTCAGCACTAATAGGTCCACTGTCTCTGTGCAAGAATGGCTCTATGTCATGAATAGTTATTTTGTTATATTTTTATATAACATATTTTATATGTTGATAAAATTCTATATTTTATACAGTAAGAAAACTTAATACTTGGTTCTGTTTTTGAAAGAAAACCACTCCACTCTGTCATTTAAGAAAATAAATACACATTACCAGGGGCTCCTGGAAGTAACCACATGGGGCATAAGCAAACAAGAAAAAACCGCAAGGGTTTTATAGTAATTTTTGAAGAAAGAATAAAATGTTGCAGAGGTATTTTGGCTTATCTTGGATATTCTGGATTTTATTTTGGCATATCTTTTTAATTAACATACCCCACCAACTACAATTTCTTGCTACAAACTGGAGGAAACTCGCTTGTGCACTCWATTATCTGTCTACAGTTTTGGGACTGTCAGTAAAATACCTCAGTATTTTATTTCTAAAACAGAGAGTGTGTGACAAAGCAAAMCAATAGAAAAAGATCAGCCAACAGACAAAGCAACCACAAGGGTGGGAAGATTKAAGGACAGAGGAAGGGGTTTGCTACAATGGTGCATATAGTGGTAGGAACAGAAGGCGGCAATGCTGGTGTGTGTATGCCTCCCCTAGTTTGCTAGACCAAATGTACCGAAGCATTTTTAAGATTTTAAATAACCAAAGGAGTAGGGAGCTGGAGGATCTGTCTCATTAGTGGAGACACAAATAAATAAATATTATGGCTGAGCAAATAATTAAGAAGGGCTTGGACAACTGGGTGCTCAGTTTTGGTAATGAGAGTGGAAATAGAGGGGTTTAGTTTTTTGGTTTCTGGTTTGTCTTTTTTTTGGTTTTTTTTTCCTAGAACGACGTATCTATAATGTATACTGAATTCCATTAGCTCCCTGCATGTGAGGAGACAGCCTGTCACTCCCATTACAGCAATRTGGAGCAGACAAAGCAGCGGAGCACACTCTCCCGGGGGCAGCTGCASAGCGGCGGGAGCAGGGCCACGCTCGGTGAGTGGCTGCCACACGGCTCTCGGTGCGAGGGAGCTCCCCGGGCTCTCCTCCAGTGCCGCCAGCAATGACTCCCGGCGGGAGCGGCGCCASGAACCTGCGCTGCATTGTGTCTGCGGAGCGGCTCACAACTCCAGTCACAATAATTAATACTATTAAATTATTCATTGCCCGTCCACTCGGTGCCTTTCCATGGGCCGACGGCCTCGGTCAGGGCAGGAGGGGGCTAGTGATTTCACTCGCCAGTTGCGCTCTCYGCAAGTCCCTGACGGGAGGCTGTAGCCAGGTGGGAGTCGGCCTCTTCTTCCAGGCAACCAGCGAAAGGACAAGGGGACATTGCCTCAGGCTGTGCCGGAGGTGGTCCAGGTTGGACACTAGGCCTGAATTTCTTCACAGAAAGGGTTGTTTAACATTGGAACGGACTGCCCGAGGAGGTGGTAGAGTCACCGTCCGTGAAGATGCTCAAGAACCATCTGGACGTGATACTTAGTGCTCTGGTCTAGTTTTTCATCGGTTAAAGRTTGGTCTCGAAGATCTCAGAGATCCTTTCCGACCTAATCGGTTCAGTGATTCTAKTCTTTCTAGGCCCAGCGCTGAGCGTCCCCCCGAGCCCTCTTCTCCAGCTGTGGGAGCGGCGCACGCCCCGTACCATATACGGCATCCCGTCCCCTCCTATGGGGACAGGGGCGGTGCCACCTCTCCCCGCCTCGGGCCGGGGCTGCCTGCATCCCACCCTCCATCCCGCCCCCTGGGCCGGCCGAAAGGGGCGTCGCCGCCGCCGCCATCGCCATGGCCGGTTGTTGTCAGTCCCTGGCAGCGGGTTATGGCGACGGCGGTGAATGAATTCTCCGGGCGGCCGAGGGAAGAAGAAAGGCTCAGCCGGCTCCAATTCCCCGCCTCCGGCCGCCGGCACCTCTCCCTCCTCGCCGCCCGGGCCGGCGCCCCCCGTGCCGCCGGCGGGGGCGGCCGCGGCGGCGTCCCCGCACAAGCGGAACCTGTACTACTTCTCGTACCCGCTCTTCGCCGCCTTCGCCCTGCTCCGCTTCGTCGCCTTCCAGCTCGGGCTGCTCTTCGCCTGGCTTTGCGAGCGCCTCTCCCGCGGCGCCCTCATGGCCGCCAAGGGGAGCAGGGCCGGGGCCGGCGATGCGCCCGAGCCCGGCGGGGCGCCCGAGACGGTGCGGGCGTGCCACAAGCGGGCCTTCGAGTACATCTCCATGGCGCTGCGCATCGACGAGGACGAGACAGGTARGGAGGGAGCGCCCTCGGCCGCCCCGGGGTGCCGGGGGAAGGGCCGGCAGGGCCTTGCAGCCCTGTGCCGTGGAAGCGCTTTCTGCTACGAGCAAACAAAACGCGCTGCTGAGAGAGACGCGGGAGGGGGTGAGCCGTGCTGTGCCCGCATGCGGTGGCGGTGCTTCCCTGCCCAGCCGGGTCCGTCCCTGCCGCAGCCCGCAGGTGCCGGTCGGATCACAAAGCTGCGGCTCGGGCTCCTTCCCCACGTAATACAAGTGCTTGTATTTCTCTTCAATAACTTAAAGACCTTTTCCTGCGAAGGTCTGGGTGAGGAGATTAAAAATTGCGGGCGGGTGTCTGACCTCAACTAGCCCTCACCAAGCCAGCCGGACAACAAAAGCAACAATGACAATAATAAGGGTGCATCCTTTAATGTACTGCCTGACATGAYGTGAGTGCTGAAGCGAGGCTTCAGGTTACTTGGCCCTCAAAATGCCCATTTGGACTAGTTTGACTTTTAAGGAAAGAAATWATTGTATTTTGGCAGTTTCTTAAAAAAACGTTTTTCTTAAACAGTTTGAAATGCATACTCTTAGAAAACCTAAAAAYCTACCACTGTGTGATGAGAAGACCTTAAGGAGAATGTTTAGGATGCAGTTAAATAAAACAGGAGAGAGGATTTTAAAATTTTTTGTAGAGCATTAAAAAAAAAAAGAAAACACTTGATACTGCATTTAATTTAACAATGTATTCTAAATACATGCTTCTGTCAGCATGCAAAAGGTAGGCCTTAGGAATGTGCTGTGCTGGTTTTTAAAATTTCTCTGGAAACCTGAGAATACTTTATTCTACACTTTCAGTTGAGCTTTAATGAAAACTGCTGTCCCAGAGGATGAGGTTCTAAATACAGGAATAGGCCTTCAATAGAAGCTACGTGCTGAGAGCAYCATAAAAGCGTGGGATGTGTCCTCCTTTGCTTTGACAATTTGGGAGTGGCAGTGGTAAGCTCTGGGAGAGAAAAAAAAACCTGCACCATGTGCAGCAGGATTAGTTCAGCACAGATGTACAGTGAGAGAGCACTGAGGGTCTTCGGAGCAGAGCATGAAAGAAGGTGAGGTAGCTGAAAGCTTCAGTGTTGATGGTTGCTCTGTGAGGAGTATCAAAGTCTTGGGTTATCAGGTACCTATTCCACTGTTGTGACCTTTAACTGAGGGTGGTTTGRAGGGTGAGCCCATAAATACCAGTTTTAATCATGGCCTTGTGATGTAGATGCCTTTAGGGTGATCATACATTAATTCGCTGCACAGGTCACATATTTAGTAAGATGGTCTTTGCTGCTAACATGAGCAGTTGCACAGCTGTTACAGCCCTGCAACTGCAATATAYGTTCCACTGAGAAAGAACTCACTTTGCTTTAATACATAGATTTGTTATTTGCTTATCTGATTTTCCCAGAATATATGTCTATCTTTGAAAATTTTTTGGTCTGTAAACAAGCTTTTTATAGCATCAAAGAGAAAACAGTATGTTAGACATAGTGTGTGAAATGGCTGGAATTTCTGAATTGTCTAATAGCCTATTAGTTATGTGGCATTTTTGCTGTTGTGGAAGCTATGCACACTTCAGTAATTTTGATAGCACTTCTGGTAATTTGTAGGCTTCTAAATTTTTGGGGCAGTTATTCTTTCTCTGCTATTTTCATAGTCAAGCTTAATATCTTTTCCAGGGACTAAAAGGGCACATGTGGTGTGTTGACCCCTGTAGGCAGTTAAGCATCGACACAGCTGCTTGTTTACCCCTCTCAGTAGGACAGGGGAGAGCACAAAAGTGAGGAGAAAAAAAAAATCTTTCCAAGCAATTATTGCACTGGAAGACAGCTCCCATTCAGTTATTCATTCTACCCAATGGATGTTATCAATGCTATAATGTTATTGATGAGCATTATATTGTATGATACAGAAATTGGCCAGTTTATGTCAGTAATCCTGGCAGTGTCCTCTCCCAAGTTCCTGTGCACCCTCAGCCTATTYTTTGGGGATCTAGATGGTAAAAAGAGAACCTTGAGGTTGTGCTGTTCACCAATACCCAAAACATTTCTGTGTTATCAACTGTTTTAGTCACAAATCCAAAACACCGTGCCATTGGGGCTGTTTGAAGAAAATTAGTTCCATTCTGCCAGAGCCARTATAGCAAATTGGCAGCTTCCAAGRAATGTGGTGTTTATTGTATTTTTTAATGTCATTATCACTGAGAACTAGTTAACCAGTCTATGTGGAGCTGGAGCACAACYTTTGCAAACAGCTTGGTGTGGTATAGTGCTTTTAAAACTTTGTCCAGTTAAAAGCTTGAAATGAAATTTTAATGGTGACCGTAGGGGCAGCTGCCCCTAAGAGTGACAAAGCAATTCAGGCAATAGCAGAGGTGGCTGGAATAATCTCAAATTAGATTTTTATTTAGTTATAATCAGTATTAGAGTTACACTGCAGTTGAAACTGTTTCTGTGGCTGGTGGGGAGAAGAAGCTTAAAAAAAAAAGGCTAAAGGGAGGATTGAAGTTAGTCACCTTTGATAATTTAATTTATCTAGCTTTGACCTCAACGGTCAGGATATATGAGGCTSGTGAAGAAAGGGCAATAATGAAATGAATCCCAAGGTGTGTGATGTTCATGACTATAGGAAGGTGCTCTGTGGTTTGTGTTGGTAAGAAGAGCAAAGTATGAAATTTACTGCTCAGGGGAACTTGCCAAATGTTATTATTAAAGAGACTTTATATGTGAAGAGGAGCAAAAAAAAAATCCTGAAGAGGATTCTAGAAATATATTGAAATATTTTTACTGACACTGAAATTTGCCAGAAAATAGGTTTGGGACTGAAGCTATCAAAAAATTTGAGTGTAGAAGCAGTACAGTCACTGGTAACGGGCACTTAGGAATAGTTTTGTAAAACACTGTGTCTTTTRAAACTYGGGTGATGATATCTGAAGTTTCATYGTAGGCATTTTTAGTTTYTTCTACCACTAGCAGTTTGTTAATGCTGATCAGTTAAGYTCTAATACCTAATCTGTTRTATTCCTCTGTGGRAATGCTTAGTGWGATATAATTATGTTGCAAATGTATTTTTCCATATCCAGGTAAATATCTTTTTAAAGCAGAATATTTATAGAAAAGGAGCAGTCTGACGCAGATATTAATAGGTTTGCAATGGTTTACTTGCAGTCATGGTGTCATATAGCATAGGTCAGGCATAGGCATGTCCATGGTTATGTTTGCTGTAATATCCATTCAGGACATGGCTGGTACAGTGGTGTACTCGTCTTGTGCTTCATGTGAAAGTTGACACACACCTCCAATACAGCAGTTTCATAATAGGATAAACAAAGAAATACCCTCATGGCAAATGAGCTGCTCTGTTCAAAAGTTAACCAGAGGAGGTGTCTCTCATCTTTCTCTTGTAGTGTCTTAGACTTGTTGCTTTTCTTCTTGAGTTTCTGTTCTTCTAGTGTTACTTTGGTGTTGGTTGTCACTGGAYGATTAAGAGGCATGTATTTGATGTTCCAGAAGTAAAAACTGTTAATTTCACCATTTCTGTTGTGAGTGAGTATGTGTAGATGAGCTTTTTAATATTTTTTTTTTTTCTGTTGGAGGAGGGGGCAATGGGGAGGGGGAGTTCTTTAAAGCAAATAGACAATTATTCTTAAAAAAGGCAAAAGTGATTTGAGGCTGGTGTAGTACCTATTTTTAATAGAAAAGCTTGCTTGATACTTAAATAGATAAAATGTTGACAGTGTCCCTTTCAGASCTCCTTTAAATTACAGGATTTTGTTCAAATATCTCTTCCTCCCTCTTACTTATTTTATGTAGCATTATATAGAACCATTCCTAAGCTTTAACTCGTTCAAGAAAATAATGGGTTCACTTCCTTTTTAAGCAGGACAAAAGGAACAAGCTGTGGAATGGTATAAGAAAGGAATTGAAGAACTGGAAAAAGGAATAGCTGTCTTAGTAATTGGTCAAGGTAAGCCAGTTTTGAGTTTCATGGAACTTATTTTGGTTTGTGGCTTCTTTGAAGTGAGACATCAATATTGCTTAGTATAGTAGCTGCTATGAACAGTCTGCTGTATGAATTAATTCATAAGGGTCTTTCTTATTCCTATTATAGCTRTAGGTAAACAGTAGTCCATTTCTCTGTTGCATCTTAATGTTCTGATCTGTATCCTACACAAATTTTGTTCCAAATATTTTCAGGCTCTGCAAAATAATAAGGAGCTCATGAACACTGTTAAGCAAAACATGTGATTTCTTATATAATGGGAATGCCAAAATACTGAATTSTGATTTGATTTGTTGAAGCTGACAGTTCATGTTCTCACTTATGCAGAATTTTATATTTCCTTCAGTGTAATTTAAAAAGAAATGCTCCAATTTGGAATGGCCTGAYATTATGTTACTGAATAACTTAGGCCAAAATAATTAAAATCTCCAGCAAAGGAAGAAATCATCCAGAAATTTCCACATCTCTCTATGTGGAAATATTTTAACCTGTAGCGTAGAAACGGTATGTACCCTAGAAATACTGGCTGTAGTTCAGGACTTGCTGAGAATTTCAGTCCTCAAAATAATATAATAATAATAAAAATCAAATCACCTGCCCCAATCCTAAGCCTGTCTGCTTTTGCAGACTTGTATTTTGGTCATCAGCTGTGTTTAAAAGTATATGGTGATCTTAGGGGGCAGTACCAGTGGCACAAGATATAACCTGTATAAATTGCACAGTTAAAAAAAAAGCTTGGCTTASACAGTATTTCCTAGGTATTAATGTTTAATTCTGTGTGTTTTGAAATGTAAAGGGACACAGTCAACTGAATTTATATCTGTTAATGTTGCCAAAGTGAATTATTTCAAATTGTACTTGCCTCTCAGTCACTTTTGAAGCTTTTTAAAAATATTTTTTAATTTGACTTCTGTTCAAAGCAATGCAGAGGTAAGGGACATATTAGGTCAGCGTGAAATGTTAGACAATATGGAAAGCCGTGTTTGGATTCCCATTGCTCTATAAGCACTGTTGTAAAACACATAGTGTCAACTAACTTTAAATGTTTGATTAAACAGAAAGCTTCAGAATTTTTTCATTAGTTTTGTAATGAAGTTCCATAGTGGAGGGAATAGATAAGGGATGGGAGGAGGAGGGGGGAAGGATGGGTATCAGTATTGTAGCACTTAATTTACTGAATTGTGTTTTAACATGGATTTTTCTTTGTAAGGTGATCAGTGTGAACGGGCTCGACGTCTCCAATCTAAAATGATGACAAATTTGGCAATGGCCAAGGATCGGTTGCAGCTTTTAGGTACCAGTTACAACTAATGACTTTGGGAAGTTTGTAATTATTTGCACGACTTCATTTAATGCATTCTTCTAAAATTCTACTTTGATTTTTAAAATGAAGGAGTCATTATCTTTGTAGGGTCTCTTTAATTTAATTTTTAGTTGAGAGCAAGTGCTGTTGATGGATTTTGAAAAAGGAATTTCATGACCGACTTTCAGGTATATAACTGAGAAGACTTTATATCATAGTACACTTGAATTAAAAAGTGAGGAAATCTTGTTTGACTCCTGATGGAGTTTGTTCTATTAGAACTGTAGTGAAATTCATTATGTATTGCTGATCATGATTGCCAAGTGTGCCTCTTGTAAGTGTGACTACATCATGTTCTGTTGATATTGCTGTCACTTGCATAACAGTTTCCCTTATTATTGGTATATAATAATAATAATAATAATRATGATGTTTCTTTAGCATCATGTAGACCAGACAGTTACGAAATTTTAGTTTTCCTAGTAGTGTTCTATTTTTAAAATTAGAAGGTCAGGTCACTTTTTTCCAGAAGCATAGTGTTGCATAGTTTTAGCTTTATTAAAGTTAATTGTTGTATATACCCTCATAAGAGCATAGAGATGCCCCTGGCAGACAACTGACCCACTCTGTGTAGTGCATCCTTTAAATTTAARACTTGGGAAATGCTTTCAGTTCAGTCAGTAAAATTGAAATGAAGACTTTTTTTTTAATTGCTCTTTAAGGGTAAACTAACATTTTAACTTGTATAGCTCAGCTTTAATCTTACCTGCTGTTGTGTTGAGTTCTACTAACTCATTCTTCTAGGAGCATGGAGAGCAGACAGGAAAACTTGTGCACTTTTCTCCTCTTGCACTTTGTGCTTCTGTGGTCCTAACTGGTGRTTGACAGGGGAGTTGTGACAACCACAAGCAAATTAATCCCTTTTGTTTCCCTTGAGTTCCTGATGTCTTTAGTACTTTTTGAAAAAAGAAATGAAGGGGACAGAAGGTGAAAGAGGCATCTGTCTTCTATGCTTTAATATGGGTGTTTATCAGCATAGCTTTAGTACGTGGAGAAAAGATATTTTCCACCCACTAGGGGTTAAAGGCTGACTTGTAGAGATAATACAAACTAGGGAAAAATAGAGTGAAAGTGATTACATGTCAATGATCTTTGATAAGGTATGACTTGGTGAGGATCCTAATTGCAAGTAACTGGAATTTCTTTTAAAAATTTGCTCTTCTTTGAAGCTTGAAGTGTTTGTATTTTGTGGGTTGTGCTTCATCCTTGCTTGAATTACTATAGTAGCACTTGTAATGAATCACATACTTGCTGTGATCTGACTGAAAAGAAACAAAGGGTAAAATTCACAAAAAAACCTGAAATATTCTCATCTTTACTGCCAGAACGTGTGATCACATACTATTTGCTTGCTTCATTCAGAGTGGAGATTGAATGGTRAACAGATAGAATAGTGTTTATTAGGTGAGTTGATGTAAAGCAATTTGTTTTTTAAATTTGACTTCACCAGTTTAATACTTTGTTCTGCCTAGTTCTTGTTCAGTTTTTGCTGAGGATCTGCTKCATACAATCTACCTAAAAGCAAAATTTGGAAAAAAAGGAGCAAGTGAAGTCATGTGCCCTTTCGGAGGACAAAAGATGTGGTTTGGAGAGATATTTCAATGGCTTTAAATCCCTGCGAGTGTGATCGTGAGGGATCTATTTGAGTTATATTTTTGTGCCACCTAACCAACTTCAGAGTATTGACAGCATCTTTTTTTTTTTATTGCCTTTTTCTGTCATTTTACATGGATTTTGTGGAAATTTAAGGTAATCTAGACTTGAATTCCATGTGCCATTTTAAACACACTTTCAGCCTGTTACTTCTAGTAACAGATATTTGGAAGTTTTTAAGTGCTGTGAAGATCCTTTTGTTGTTGATTTAAGMATGAGGCTCTTGAACCTATTATGGTTCAATGAAGTGATTTTTCCTATGAATTGAACTCATAAGAGTGTTTTCTGCTAGCTTTGTGGAATTTCTCCGTTTCTTGAGATGGAATAGGCAAGTCCTTTATTGCATTARCAGAAAGGACAAAACAAACTTAAACTAGACAATAATACCAAATATTTCATCCTGCTTCCTAGACAAAGATGTGATTGCAGACTGCCTAACTCAAATACCATCCAGTCAAGCAGGTTACATTGGTAGTACCTAGAAAGTGAATATTAAATCATGCTGATTACTGTCCTTGAAAGTGCTCAGTGTTTTGTTATGGTTTTTACGTGTTGGTACACCCGTGTGAGTGTGCATGACCCCACTGATGGGAGTGTTTGACCCCACTGATGAGAGTGTGATGTCTGATTACACACAAGTGTAAACACTGTGTCATCACACCACTGATTTCTTTTAATCTTGGAAGAGGCTGGAGCTACCCACCTTGGATGATGGATTTTCAGTCCATTGACATTATTTGGTTGTGCTGGCTGTCAGGGGACTTGGAAGTTCTTCCATTTGGTTTGGTGGTGACCCCCCATTTTTGGTATGGTTTTGGGTGTGTTAGTTGCGTGGTTAAACCTTGCTTAGTCTTCACAGACCTGGTCTCTCCTGGATGACTGATCACCCATGTTAGAGTCATTAAATTTGATGTATTTAGAATGGCAGGAGGCTCTTTGTTTTCTACAGTCAATACACAGAACTTGGCAGCTTGTTGTTCCTAAAGATAAATGGCTGCCATGGCCAGTGCAACACTATTCAGTTCTAATGCTATTTATGTGTTACACCTATCTGTGTTCTCTCATTTCAGAGAGACTTTCAGTAGGGCAATAGATTTCTGTCACAACAAGTGCCTTCCTCTGTATTGTGTGTAGCTTCAGTATTTTAGTTGAAGGGTGTATGTGGCAGATATCTTTCATCAGTATCTTCTGCGGAAGGTATTAATATTTCTCCGTTCTCCCTGTATAGATACTGTCTTCAATGGACACCTTTTGGAATATTCCACTTTGTTGGAGGAGATGGTAGTTTTGCTTCAGGCTTTTGTTATAGGGTAACGTTTTTCTAGTAGAAATCAATTACCTTGAACTCAAGGTGTCWTGTTGCCTAAATAAGACAACGGTTGCAGTGCTGTTCATTTGATAGTTTTATGTCAGCATTGTATCACCAAGGTGAACTATGAATGAGATTCTGTAAATTTTTTTTTCAGTATCTGGAAAGATAGGGGAAAAGCATTTCAATGGAAGATGATGGTGTCCTRTAATTCCCTGTGATAATATTTAATAGCTTAATTTATTTTTGATATTCCAGAGGATCCTACAGTTAAACTTTCCCTAAAGAAAAGTGATGTTTTCTTTTAGAAATTTTATGTGCAATACTAGAATGACATGTTAATAGGTAGTGTGATGAGAAGACTCTGAATTGAAACTGGACAACGGTTTGATTACATTTTTTGTTTTTTCTGTGGTTGGAGTTCTGGAGTTCCTGGTTATGTGGAACTAGGTAATCATTGATAATTGCAATAAAACACCAGTGTCAAATTGTAGCATTGAAGCAAAAAAGATGTCTTGAATTCCTGCCCAAGCCAATTGATCTCATTATGGTAACTCACTAAAAAGCCTTTTTCGTTAAGCTCAGAAATGTTTCCAAAACTCAGTTGATTATCTAATATTTTTAACGTTTGTAATATTAATTTTGTTTCCCAAGCATCTGTATGTTCTTTCCACGTAGTTTGCATGCACTTGTCGGGGAGTAGACCATTCTGCTGCCTCCTTTGGTAATGCTGTGTCTGCTAAAGACACTCTCTGCAGTCAGTCTTRCTAAAAGGATTTCCCTTACCCTTCTAGAGAGGAAAGCTTATAAGGGTAACTTCTTGAAAGTTACAGAACTTGTGATTGGTTGTTGGCTGTTCTTCTGTGATGGATATTTTTTTGTTTGACTCTCCCTGACTCTTCAAAGCATTCAATTTAGAATGAAGTAAACATTGTATACGCGTACTAGTCTTGAACTTCATCTTTTCATATTTGCTTCCGACCACCAAGTTTTAATTCTAAACYGTGTTCAACCTAAATGTTATAAAGCCATCACTTTAACTATGGGGTATAAAGGTGCTATTCAGGAAACCTAAACAGTGAGTGATCAGAAGCAGGAAGAAGAAGAAGGAAGGAATGAAGCAGGAAGACTAGACAAGGATCTGTGACAGATAAAAAAGCATAAGGAAGGAAGTGCTTATGCTTGTTGGGTGTATGATTTGCAAGCTCTGCATGGCAATTCTTCCTCCAGTTAGGGTGTTTATGATCTTGCTAGAGGACATTACTCTACTTGGCCATCTCTTTTCCTGCAGCTTCTTGATACTGTTATCTCTTTGGGGGGSGGGGAGGGGGCAAAGCAAAAGGGGGAGAGAGGGAGAGCTTGACAGTGTATGCCTTGCTTCCTTACAGACCAGTTTAAAATGAGAGGGATGTGTGTGAAATAAGGGTGGGAGAGGCAGTAAAGTGCCCCAGAAGTACAACCCAGAGGTTTTTAACTGCATTAGGAAAACCAAGTATGGTAGCTGGGTTGCAGAAAATAAATARTCCTTAACTGGTTTTTTTGTGTTTGCAGCCTTACACCTCTTTGACTTATGGTTTGGCTGTTTTTCATTACTTCTCAGAATTAATTTYTGTCTCCTTAAGGATTAACTTTATAGATTTTATATTCAGGTGTTTCTGAAGCTAATCCTCCTAAAGGACACAATTTGCATGACAACTTTATTGACTTAATTTCAAGGYAATTAAATAGAGATAATAAAAGACATCACTGTCATCTCTATATGGTATTCTGCTGAAGTTTGAAGGTTTCTATAAAATGTTAATTGGCTGTTACTACTTAAGTGAAACATTTAATATGCAGAGAAGTGATGACTTCTTGCAGCTGGTCAAAATTAACACCTTGAGGAGGACTTTGAGAAATGGGTTATCAACATAAGTATTTGGTAAATTAAATTGAGTTAATCCTGAACATAGTTTTTGCGAAGTAACTGCAATSATTAGACTGTAAAGATTGTTGTGATTAACTCAGCCATAAAGGGTGAATTTTAAAGCTGTTTTCAGTCATGCTCATACTAACAGAATTTTCTTACACATTTGCTGAATGTGTAGAATAGATAGAAATATTCCTTTTAACTTTAATTATAACAAAGCCAAACTTGACATTTGTGTGTTCAACATACATAAATTTTCTTGGTTCATTTTTGGTTTTTGTTTGTTTATTTTGTCCTTTTTCCTCCCTCCCCCTCTGTCTACTATGTAGAGAAGCTGCAGGCAGTTTTGCAAATTTCCAAGGCGCAAATGGAGGTCTATAATGACAGTACTAACCTGGCATGCCGCAATGGACATCTCCAGTCAGGTGGGTTTGGTTTTACCAGCACCTATTGAGGGGATGTCTCTCAGTTTCTGGTGTRTTAAAAGCAAAATAATGCAATGCTGTATTCTGGCACCATCAGCTTTAAAATAAAGTTGTTTGTATTTCTGTTTTTAAAGGCTTTGCMTAAAATACATTTCATCCTTTCCATGGCTTTGACAACAAAATTTTATTTTGTAGTATTCAGTTTTCTCTTACATTGACTGTCCTAAAATTCAAATCTATTTACTAAGGCAACATTTTAGAAAATATTTCTCATGTTATATTCTTCAAGGAATTAGATTAAAGTTGTTTTAGAAAGTGTCAAAGTCAATGCTGGATATGTGGGCTATATGTTACGCCTACATTAAGTAGCTCTTCCTTTATGATACTGTGAATGTTCACTTGCRTTAAGCAACTTGAAATTTCAGGGGGTTTTTACATCAAGAAAGTGATACACAAAATGAGGGGGAATGATAGCAGCTCTTGCATTTTGTCAAAGAACATTGGTTCAATCCTTTCCAAGAAGACTGAACCAAACCTATTAAATAGTAAGCTTTTTTTTTTCCATACACAAGGTATAAAGTTGCTTTGAGGTTTGTGAATTGTCTTTGGGGAATGTTTTAAGGCAGCAATAAGCTGTTGTCACAAGTGTGATCTGAACTGATAATTTGTACTGTAGACTGCATGAAGTTAAATAAAATTGAGAGCTAACGATGAGTGCTGGAATTCATAAAGCTTCTCTAYTGCGTCAAGAACAGTATTCAGTTTTTAAATTAAGTAAACTGAAACACCTTAACCACATGACTTTCTTCTGTTCTTGGGTTTTTTAAAATCCATTTCTAGTTTTGAAGTCATCTTACTGTTTGGTTTTATTCTTTCTAAAGTAGAACAAGTTAAAGTAGTGGAACTGTTTCATGTTAAGTACCTTTACAATACTGTATATGTGGTATTTTTGTTTAACAGCATTTGTTAAAAAAGTGTAGTTATGTAGATTGACTTTGAGAACTCTCTCTTTAAATGAGTCAATACAACTCCTGTTTTTTTGCCAGACTGGCTAGAGACTGAACAAGTACATACGTRTACAAAAGTTGATAACATGTTCTATTTAATTTAACGTGAACAGCTTTTTCTTTAAACTCTTTGCTYAAAATTTGCTTGTACCTTTGTCTCAGTGTGTCTCAGAATTGGATACTTCAGGAGAAGGTTAGATTGAACTTTCACTTTTCAAAATTTTAATATACTTAAATCTGTTATTAACAAAGCATAGAATATCCATTGGCATCTACTGGAGAAGAAGAAATGTTTTGCCAGTTCTGTGGAAGGCRTTTGTATTCACAGAAGTTATAAAAAGTGGTCACTAGTGGTAAACTTGTGGAAAATGTTATTACCCTGGTTACCTGCTTGTAGTCATACTCCGGTGATTTAGACAAGATGATCCACTTCAACCAAACTGTGGAGGAAACAATTGCAAAGGGCTCTTTGGCAGTGTATTACTCTACTGGCAATGTATTCTTCTGAGAGTGTTCCCACTTTCTGAAAAGGAGTGTGGGATAACAGAGAATGTTCCTTTACCAGACTCAGTGGGATCTGAGGTGAGACAGAAGGACTGAAGAGTGTGTCATTAAAAAAAAATCAGGGACCACGTGTCTACTGATCACTTTGAACAAGAGTTCAAGAGGCTTATTCCATTTCTTTTTGCATTTCCATCTACCAAAGGTAAACTTGAGATTTATAACTTGTGGGAGTCAGAGGATTACTCAAAATACTGCAGCTGTGTGGTTCTTGATAGCATGAAAGTCAGGCTATTAATGGGCATCTGAATTTCCTAAATGGCTGGTGCCCATCCTCTTGTGCTTTCTCTCTCTCGATTTAGGGTATGGGGCAAGTGAGTCYTTTTCATAAGAACATGTTGGTAATACATTTTTTTCTTAAAAGCAGGTAAAAAGGTGGTTTTGCTTCACACACTGCTAATCATCTTGTTCTTCCTTTATACATGTAAAATAGTATTTTTGCATGGATAGCTTAAAAACCCAAAGTAGATGACAAAAATTCTTAGAAAACTACAAAACCRGTTTATAGGCTACTTCAGATTAGAGGACTATTGTTAGTGACAGGGTGTGGAGGTATTTCAGAGGTACTGAGCTACAGGGCTCTGTATAAGCTTAGTTTTCTATCTGTGGAAAGTATTACCTGCACTGTTGCCTAATCAGGTTGCCCTTTCTTTTATTCACCTTTAAAGGCCAAAGTCTTAACAGATGTTTTTGCTTTGTGATTTTGTATGAGATTCTATTCTCACAGATRCATTGCACATTTTTTATATTTCCAAAGTGTTACTGATTTGCTTTTGATTTGTGGTCAGCCTTCTTGACCAGTTTACTTATTTTACCACAGATGACTACCTGTCCCTGTCTTCAACATTTGTGGTTTCCAAACTTAACTGAATAGCTAGAGATTTTTCTTCCAAGTTTATTTTCCAGATTTATAGTGAGGTTTTTCAAGACCTCATTGCAGTAGTATCACCTGCCCTTCATTTGCAGTGGGCTATGCAGTAACTTGTCCAAAGAGTAATAACAAGTAGCCTTGATCCAAACTTTTATTTTGAAATAATATTAATTAAATATTCAGCAATTTTGTTCTCATAGCAGTCTTAAATTAGATGTAAAACAATTTACCTGTTTTTCCCCCCTCAGATCTGCTTACTTTCCTTTGCATTTTGGATTGTTGTTTTTTGGTTTTTAAATGATCTAGGGAAGGAGATAATKCCAGTATTGCCAAAGGCAGATTTTGAGTTTTATGAACTCATTTACTGGTCATACCATACTTACAGTATTACGGTAATTCCATTTATACCATTTTATGTGTAAATCTCAGCATGATGGATGGCCCAAGAAAGTATTAAATTTCTCKTAATTACCTCAACATGATTACTCTGCAGCTAGCTAGTATTATATCTCAGTTTTCACATGGAAGAAGTTGCTGGCCTGYCTTTAATAGACATATATTGGCAATGTTTGCCGTGGTGTTCATACTGAAGTTTATCTGCTGTTGATACTGAAGTTTACAAAGGAGTTCCCCCAGCAGAAGGACACGTAGCAGTAAGATTGTTTCTAACAGCGTAATTTGACAAAATTACTCACTTTGATTGAGTGGCTATGTCAGTTCTGAAAGGAGAATAGCTGTAATTCCTGGTCTTTGTGGCTGTGCTACCATTTAACAAATGCAGCATGTCCTTAGTTGCTGGAGCTTTCTGTTAGGTATCTTTTGTTACTTGAATCTACCTATTTGAAAAATCTGAATAGAATTTTTGAAGAATTGCTATTTTGTAGGCTGTTGTGAAAGCTGATAATGAATAATGATCAGTCTTGCAATTGCTTCAAGTTTAAAGCAGCAAGTTAAAATTTTTTAGTTTTGTTGGGTTTTTTTTTAATGGAACTACATACGTAAAGTTACAGATAATTCTAGACTGGGGTTTTTTTTTCCAACTTTGTGTCCACAGGTGACATAAAATAACTTGTTTTAGCCCCTTTCTATTACTTTCCAGTAGATATATGTAGGGAATTTCTGAGGAATATTCCCTGATGATTTTTAATCTATCACAACTAAAGGCTGGAAATTGTCCTGCAATACTGGAATCACTGCTGTTAATTTGAATTTAAACTTTCTTTTGGATGCTTAAGAAGTTAGAGACTAATAGAAACTTGTTYATTAACATGTGCTTTAATCTGAAGCAGAAAACAAAATATAATGGATTTGCTTTTTAGAAATATAAAAGATGTTGTTGCATTAAATAAATGAGCTACAGCTGCATGTTTTTCAGATGTTGAATGTTTTTGAATTTCCAGGTATTTAGTATAATCAAGCTTCTCTTAGATTTGTTCAAACACATCCATACTTTATTTTATCTTTAAAACCAGTTTAATGTAAGAAGTATATATATTATATAATAACTTTTAACGTTTCTCTCTGTAAGGGAGTCTGAAATTGGTCACCTGTGGCTGCAGCTTACCCCAGTTTAACCAATAGAAAACCCCAGACAAGATGTTGCTACGTGCTTGTTTGTAATTTGTGTTGTGTGTGTATTTGGATGGCAGATTAAAATTGCAGGGATGCTTTCAGGACCAGACAGCTATTATGTCTGTGTAATCCAGGGGTGTTAGCTTGGAGCTATAAAGTAAATTATTCTGTCCCGAATTAGAGAGTAAAATCAAACTGATTAAGCATCTATTACTATCCTATAAGTATATATGAAGTAGATAATTGAACTGTTCAGTGTTTGAAATACACTTGAAAAAATTCCATGGTGTCTGTGATTTGAACATACTGTAGGCACTTCCTCATTGTTTTAAACAGAACAGTGAAACATTTGGCAAAAGGCTGCTGGAGATGTTGTGAAGGTTTTAACGTCACTTACTATGTATTTCCAGTCTTTCAATAGATGACAAATACAAATGGGTAAGAAATGTGTTTTGGGGGTTTTGCATTTGTTACAGCAAAATGCGTATCTTGCATAATGGAACAGTAGGAGCTGTCTGACAAGTGATGCTTGCTTAAACACCTCATGTAGGTAAACTTTAGATAAACTGTATTTCRGAATGGTTTGATAACATTATTTGTTACTTCAATGAAAATTTGTATATAAAATGTAGTTTCCCTCTGGAATTGAAACTCAATRCAGTGCTCAGGAGCTGTTCATCAGTTCTTCTTCATGTGCTACCCATCAGGACTGACAACAAAACATGCAGGTTTACTAGTCCTGAGTCCTGGAGGCACAGTTGGTGTAAATTCTAATTTCTTTTAAAACCTTGTCTCTTTTCCCTTCTTTCCCCTCTTCTGTTTCCAGCTTCCTGAGATACTCCTTACCTATGCAATTTTCTGACCCTCAAAATTGCAATATTTGTGTATTGTTCTCAGTGTGTGGGGGTAGTTCTGGAAGAGTGAGATTGGGCAATTAGAGTGAAGGACATGGAGAAAAACTAAGATTTTTGAAGCCTTCCCATGTTGAATTTAAGCCAGCTGTGCAAATGAGGTTGAGGCAGGCTAAAAAAAGCCCAAGTRCCACCTTTTGATTAAATTGGACCAGTCAGAGTGCTGAGTAGCTAGATGTTTTAATAGATTCATATATTGCTTTTTGAACTTGAGTTTTTGACTTGGAAATTCCTGTGTAGGAATGACTAAGTAAATGTATCTGGAGCTGTGTGTGTTTTAGTCAGTTTAGCCGGTTTTGGTGGTTTTTCTTGGTTTGTTTTTAACAAGAAACATATAACAGGTCAATGTACTTAATTATATTCTTCAAATACCCTTGTTGTTTGCATGCTGATACATCTGCACTGTTCATTGTGACCCTTGCTGAGTTTCTGTAACTCTTAAAAAGCGATAGATTTGTGACTGAAGAAAGGCTTTAGAAACTTTTTTGCTGAGTAATTAAGGATACCTCTAGGCTGTGTAGAGATTTGTTCCTGGTAGTATGTTTAAAGAGGCTGAGGACATAGTAGTAATTAATTGATCTTTCCATGATATTGTTTGACTGAAGTGTTCTCTGAATTTTTTTTAAACACAACATTTTAAAGTAATGAGGCTTTTTACTTAAAGTATTTTTCACTGAACTGCAATGTTGTAAGTTAAAAATTCTTCATAGAATTTCCTTAAACTCTGATTTCCTTAAAAATCAGAGTTCTTTGATCTGTTCCTTAAGATTATCAGGTCAAATTGAGTTGCAAGTTTCTACAATCCTAGTGAAGATACTTGTAGCTGAAATCCTTCTTGAGCTTCCTTACCTCTGATGCCATATTTATCTTATCTAATCAAAAGACTCCTTAACCCTTTTAAAAGGATTTAATAAGACAGTATTTCATTTCCATCACAGACAACAGTACTGTACTAGACAGTTTCCAGCAGTGTATTCCCACCACAAAAAAATATCCTGATCTATACTCTAATCATTAACCAGCCTGACCAACCTGCCTGCTTGCTATATCACCTTCTTACCTCTTAATCTCTGGTTTGATGTTTTACACTTGCCATTTCTGTGCCAAGGGGCTTTATTTTATTTTGCATCTCATACTGAGAATGTAGACATCAAGTGCTCTTTTGCTTACTCTGTACCAAAATGGCTTTTTGTAGTTTGATGACCTGTGACCAGTATTTCAAGTTAATCTGTCACCTAATTGGAGACTYTCCTGCTACAGCATGGAGGTGAATAAGCAGTGTGAATGGAATGTCTGGTGATGTTTAACTATATTTTAAGACTTAACTTTTAAGGTAGGAAGGCAAGCTGCTTCAGAGCTGTCTATTCAGAATTTACATGCTCCTCGAGATTYCTAAAATGAAAGAAAATTAAAAGAGAAAACCTGACAGTTACTTGCAGGTATAACTATTAAAATTTTTCCAGATTAAGATATTTTGGTGAAGCTTATGTGTGGATGGTGCTAGATAATGCTAGCTAGCATCCAATAAACTAGCTTGCTAACATCACTTAAAGAATGAATACACTGAATCTAAAGGCTTGATATTTGGAGAATATTATAATGATTATTTTTAAGAGTTCTTGGCAAAGAAAATAGCAGAACACAAGCCAGAAGAGTTTGCATACTAAAGAGTAGATTATGTTCTTCACTTGATAAAAGGACTAAGTTGTCTCTGACTTTTCTATGATGGCTAACTAGGGTTTATTTTGAGGGCTCCTAAAAATTAGACTCTTAACTTTAGGTGAAAGCAGCAGTCAGTATCCCCTTAAAAGCACTAAACCTCTTTAGAAATTTGGGTTATTCTTCTATAATACTGTATTATGTTTCAACAATTCTATCTTTAAGTTGTGGTTGATGGTAAAAGTATGACCACTGCAAATGTTCTTAAGACACTGGTTTTCTTTATAGAAAGTGGAGCAGTTCCAAAAAAGAAGGATCCCTTAACACACACGAGTAATTCCCTTCCTCGTTCAAAGACTGTTGCAAAAACTGGATCCACAGGCCTTTCAGGTCACCACAGAACACCCAGCTACAGCGGGGTATCATCATCTTCTGTGTCTAGACCAGCACCTAATTCTACACCTTCAACTCACAAGGTATGATGGGGATAAATATAGAAATATGCCCTTGAAATATCAATGTAAAAATTGCAGAACAAGCTTTGGATTTAATGCTTTAGTTGCAGTGTTGTTGCAGCAGGAAGTTCTTTGAAAAAACTGAAACTCTAAATTTTTGGCCACCCCTCAAACTAGGGGTGCAGAGTGGATTTTAGAAATTGTAAGGCATCAGGTGTGTGCATGGGCAAATGGATTTTAAGTATAATCACAGTAAAAAATAATACTTGTTTGTAAAATTGCATTGGTAACTGAGTGGAATAGTTTTCTAGATGAAAAAGTAATGTTACTTCTAGTATGTAAAAGATGGAGGAAAAAACCTCCTGCTGGAGAACTACAAGATTTTTCCCTCTCCATGTTCCTTCTCCTGTGCATGCATGCACAGGTTGTATTGCAACCACATTGAAAAGCAAATTATGCTTAGGCTGTGACTGAAATACAGAAGTCCTGTACTAGCAATACAGAAAAATATGGCTTTTCTGTTGACCTGTCTTTTTCCCTTCCATCCTTGTCACCACAGTAGAATAAAGAGCAGAATGGACTGAATRTAAATGTTCTGTTAAAATATTATTGCTTCTGTAATGTGAGGACTTTTAAGTGGCCTGTTACAAATTATAACAGCAGTAGGAATTCTTACTTATAGGTATTGAGAACCTGAGACAGTCTGTGGTGCTTATTTCCAGAGTATGCTGGGGGAAAATGCTGTAGTTAAATAAATTATCAAACCAAAAAACACCAAACCAAAGACCCTTCTTCACTGGAGCCTAAGAGAGTCTTCTCATGGCTAAATAATATGACAGTATGACTTACAGCAAAATGCAGCATTAGGATACTGGGTATTTGTTAACACATTGTTTTACTGGAGCAAATGAATGGTAGATGTTATTTTGCTAACACTATGCTTTTAAAGTATTAATCTGGGAGGGTTGGGATGTTTTTCTCTCCCCCTCTCCAGGCTGCTCCTAAAAATAGCAGAACAAATAAGCCTTCTACTCCTACCACTGCTCCTCGAAGAAAGAAAGACACAAAGATATTTAGAAACGTGGACAGTAATCTTGCTAATCTTATCCTAAATGAAGTTGTTGATAGGTAAGTATGAAGAAAAGTAGGCTTTTCAATCCAGTAAATCAATTTTTCATTCAGTACAATTTTGGTTCACATGGAATGAAAWTATTGCTTCTACTTGTTGTTTTTTTTGAGGATTATTTTTGATGTAGTTTTTTAATTGTACTTTGGCAAAAGATTGAAAGTTCAATTCAGAAATGCTTATGTTTTTAAATACTTAGCAATATAAGTTGTAGATTTTCTCAGAAGGGTTCTGTATAAATAGTCAAATGCATTAAATTAGTCAGCTGCAGCTGAAAGAGTATCTCATTGTTAGACTAATTAGTATTCCATTTCTTTGTCAGTGGGCCAGCTGTCAAATTTGATGATATCGCAGGGCAGGAACTGGCTAAACAAGCTTTGCAAGAAATTGTTATCCTTCCTTCTCTTAGACCTGAGGTAAGCAAATGGGTATTGTTATCAATCTGTGACAGGATCAAGGAGATGTATTGTCCTTCACACATGAAGTGACGATTCTTGAATCCTGTTTTTATTGATTTTGATTGCAATGGGTAGCTGTGTGGTGATAGCCATCTTGGAACAGTAAGATACAGGATTTATGTGTTAAAATACTACCATTGAATTCCTTGTCTTCTGGCTAGTCAGTGTTGGAGAAGGATTGGGGCAAGAGTGTTGAAAAAAAAAAAGGAAACCCCTGAAAACCGAAGCTCAAACCAAACCAGCAAAAAAAACCTCAAAACATAACAAAAACACAATACCCCCACAACCCCACTAAACAAACAAACTGCAAAAGCAAACAAACAAAATTTCTCACGGTATTTTAGATAACTATAGCCGCATGTCCAACTCTATATGGCCATGTGAAACAAAGCCCAGAACTGGAAGAGTGAAATGGAAGAGATTTGTATAGTTAAATTAGGTCAGGACACTATCTGATTTGAACCATGTTATTGTGATCCTTCTCTCTGTGAGGATGTTGGTTAGACACTGAATAGTTTCTTCAGAGATGGAGAGGATGCAAGGAAATGTAGTGAACAAACAAATACACTGAAGTATATAACATTCCAGGGCAGATTTCCTCTTTACTTGGCTGTGTGGAACTTGGTCGTTTAGGCTTTTATTAATCATAGATGGTACCTCAACTACTATGACTGCCTAGATTCAGGCCTAGTCTGTATACTCCTGGAATTTTCTGAGCTACTTTTAAGAAAAAATGTAACTGGTCTTTTTCCTAAAGCTGAGCTTATTAAAGCAGTAAGTACTTTCACTGTTATTTTGAGGAGATTGCATGTAATTATTTCCTACAGAGCTCTCTTGAGCACCCACCTGGAGTACTGTGTCTGGCTCTGGGGCCCTGAGCACAGGAAGGACATGAAACAAGAGGAGGAACACCTAGATGATCAGAGGAGCACCTCTGCTATAAGGAAAGGCTGACAGAATTGGGATTRTTAAGCTTAGAGWAGAGAGGGCTCCAGGGTGACCTTATTACAGCATCTCAGTAACTGAAAGAGACCTACAAGAAAACTGGTGAGCTGTTTAGAAGGGCAGATAGTGACAGGACAAGGGAAAATGGCTTCAAACTGAGAACAGGTTTAGATTTGGATATTGGGAAGAAATTATTCACCATGAAGATGATGAGATGCTACAACAGGTTGCCCAGAGAAGTTGTGGGCACCCCATCCTGGARTTGTTCAAAGCCAGATTGGAAGGGACTTTTAAGTAGTGTGGTCTAGGGGAAAATGTTYCTGCMCATGGCAGGGAATTTGGAAGTAGATGATCTTCAAAGTCCCTTCCAACCCAACCCACTCTGATTCTAYGATTATTGAAGCAAAATTGCTGTTCGTACTTTTTGTTTGCTTGTGGTTTTCACTTGTCACATAGACAGATGACTKGGGTTGCTCTGTGGTTTTCCTCCTAATACAGCTATTGATTTTGAAGCAATGTAGGGAAGAAACCCTAAATGTGGCATAGCATCACGGAAATACTAGGTGTAAGGAAAACGAAGCTCTGGCAACAAATGTGCATGCTCAGATATTGTTCTGCAGAAGGAAGATGCCATTACACTRTCTGTTACTACAGTGCAGTAGCATGTCAGGTGTGTTGTTCAGTAGTGCTAATGTGATCAGCTGGGTGGGAAAGACTTGGAGATGGGAGACTTGGAGTAGCTGTGACTCTGTTCCAGTACCATGGTGTATTCAATAAGATTGTCTCATTACTGTAGCTAGCAATGGGCTTGACCTTGATGTAGATTGAGATATAATAAGGACAGAKAATCCTATGAATATTTAGATGGTCCTTGGAAGTAGAGAGGTTGGTTTTATTCCTTGTAAATGAGCATAGTAGATATGGCAACTATAGGGAGATACTTTGTAAATTAACACTGGTTCAGTTTTAATGTCAAATCCATATTTAACAAGCCAATTAATGGTATTTTTGTAGAAGAGTGAGAGTGGAGGTACATAAACAGGAAACACTGGCTGCAACCATTTCAGTAGTAAGGTGCTAATGAATTGCTAGCAGTTAGTTCAGACCATGTTKAGTATACAAAGTGTTAACAAAAACTTGGAAAGCTTAGTATGTCTCAGTGATCAATAGCAGTTGCAGCTGAGCTGTAGGTGGTGGTGAAGGTGAGGAAGACTTAYAGATTTGAACTGGTCTGTGTGAAAATGGTGGAACTTGCCAAGAATTACTTCAAACAAAAGAAGTTAGACAGAAAATGCACATGSTTGTATGCAGCATAGAAAGCAGAAACACTGGAGTGTTCACTTAGTGAATAGCTGGGTRACTACTCTTAGTGATCAGAGTCAAGCATGAACAAAATGCTGTGGATGATGAAATAATAGAGAAAACACGTGTTGGTCAGCCATGGCAGAAATACAACACTGGTCATGGAGCTATTTGTTGTCATGGATGTTGTGGAAAGAAATGCCTGCMGACAGTGCTGTTTCACCTGGGATATATATATGAGATACCCTCAGATTGCTTTTGCCTGTTTATTGGAATTATTGGAAGCTGAAAGGGGAGGGGTGAGTCTGAGACTACAAGAGAAGCTCTGAAACTTTTGAGGGAAGGGATAAAGACAAAGTGCTAGAGAAAACAGGCARCAGTAATAACAAAAAGATACGTGTTCTGTGGGAATTTGTAGACTTGCTTGCTGTGATGCTATATATGGTGGGGGCAATTTTACAGATTAGGAAAGACGAATCTAGTGCAAAGTGAGAAAGGAGATGCCTATCAGTAGCATAGAAGAGAGTAGGTGGTTGTTAAGTAATATTTTAAATAATTTTGTTGAAAGCTTGTCTTCACAAGTTTCATTTAATAAAGAAAGATGAAGGAGTTCTTCCATATGGAGTGAGTAGGAACACTAGCTCTCCTACTACACACCTGCATTACTCCCTTTTTAACTGCARTTGATGCTTTAAACTTGATAGGCTAGTCTGTTTTGTGGAAAGTGTTTTAAACTGCTTTCACAGTGCATCCATGTACAGAACAATTACAACATGATTTAGCTGCTATGTGGGAAACAATAGTGGTGTGCATTAGGTCAAGTTTGTTACAGTGTAGTTCTCTCAAAGCCTGCACTGTTGTGGCACTGCTGTTACTATCAGTGCTAGTCAGGGAATGATTTCTCAGTTTTATACCATTCTCTTACAAAGGTAAAGCAACTTTATATTCAAATCTTTGAAGATAACTTATGATAATGTCCTTTTTAGTTATTTACAGGTCTAAGAGCTCCTGCACGTGGTTTATTGCTGTTCGGCCCACCAGGAAATGGGAAGACAATGTTGGTGAGAAAATTACTTCATGCATGAGTTGGTAGGCTTAAAATATAACCATGAGGGGTGGCTTTCAGTCTGGGGCTTGCAGTAATAAACTGTACATTCTTACAGAATCTGTATTAAGGTGTTGTTTTATAAATGAAAATGCAAAATTGTTCTTAACCCTGGATTTTATGGAGGGAATTGCTAAAATGTTCTCTATTTTTCTTTTCACTGTGACAAGTARTATTTCAAAAGTTATACCAGCGAGCCCAGGTTTCATTTTCAGAGACAGCAAAAGAAAGAGGGTTAATTTTTTTATACAKCAGTGATTAATCAGAAGTGATCTCTCCAGTGAAACGTACTAGAAGCACGTTTTGGAAATGGAGAGGGAGCACAGTAGCAAGGAAGGGAATTGTCTCACTTGCACGCTGCTGAGCATAAGGGCCGTGGAACTCTCTGGCTGCAGCTTGTTTTCTCAGCCTGTGCTAGATCCAGGGAACTGGAGCAACATGGCTGTGTGTCAGCCGGGGAGCATCGAGTGTCCTGATGCATCTGAGCCAGGCACATCATCCTGCATCACATGGTGTGGCTGCAGCTGCACGCTCTCTTTGCTGACWCTGGAGCTGGATCAGCGCTCAAGTGCAGGAGTGTGAATGCTGAGCAGCTCATGTAGGCTCATCTGTTATTTTCGACATACTGGAATGTAATTGCTAATCACTAAAATTAGATCTTATAACCAGGGAATCATAATTCCTTGAATATGGTGGAACTATTAAAGAAGAGCTGATTCTAACTGWTTATTTTTTCTAGCTTTCCTCTGAAAATAGCTTTTGCATAAGATAAAGGAGGGGGAAAAACACCATGGTTTTTTAGTGGTTGCATCCATCTGATGCCTTAAATTACACCCTAAATTAGTTAAAACTGGCTCAGATGTCTATTCAGGATCAGTTGATAGGAATTGGAGACTTTTATTCTTCCGAAGGCAAGTTGGAGTTGTCTATGGAGTTAATATGATTAGAGAAGTCTGTGGGAGTCTGGATATTTCTCTGTTGGTTTGACTGCATGTCCATTCCCGTTTGTAAGCAGCCTGGACAGAATTTTTCTGTAAAATTTTCAAGGTGCTCCCTTTGAAGAAACAGGGGTTTTCAAAATTTTTAATCAGGACATGAGTGCTCACTATGGATGCAGAGAACTATCTTCAATATAATATTTTAAAAAGTACTTTTTTCCCTTCTTTCCTAGGCCAAAGCAGTTGCAGCAGAATCAAATGCTACTTTCTTTAACATCAGCGCAGCGAGCCTGACTTCAAAATATGTAAGTAGTGGCTGTAAATTGTATTGATCTGAAAACATCCATGCTGTAATTGGGGCTTAAGAAAGCCAGAGACTTCTTATGAGTCCTTGCTGAGCTCTTAGCTTATAGTGAACATAGTTCTTAAAAAGTGATTTGGGAAGTAAAAAAAWTTTGTTTTGTGCTTGTGATAAATCAATGGCAAAGGTTTTTGCAGCTCAATGATGACACTGATAGTCATGCAGATGAGTTGTTGTGGGGTTTTGCATCCTTAAAAAGTAAATTAGTTGAGTCCCAGCTMCCTTTCACKCTGGTWAGTTAGGCACCAAAATCTCTTGACRGTTAACTCAGTTGTAATCATAAGAGAAGTCGTAATGTTTCTTGTAAAGATGTAAACAATACTGTTTTATGTACTGAACCAGTGACAATTTAAATATGTATAAATGGACTGGGTGTGGTTAGTTACCAGCAAGATATTCTGTAGGTCCTTCTGTTAGCAGTCTTGTAGTAAAAATTTTTAACCCCTTCCAAAACCAGTTTATTATTATTTTAGGTGGGTGAAGGAGAAAAACTGGTGCGTGCCCTATTTGCAGTAGCCAGAGAACTTCAGCCTTCTATAATTTTTATTGGTAAGAYCTTAAATGTTAACTTTCATTTATTTTGTTAAATAAATGTTATTAAATTGGAGTAGTTGAGTAAACTTGTTTCAGGTAATTCTACAGCACAGGACAACTGTCTCAGATATGACCTGCTGGCTAATCAGTAGTTTCTATAAAGCATGTTAGATTACTGTTGTATTATTTCATTGGTGGTAATAGTGGGAGGAAGTGCTTTGAAAAAGGAAAACACTGTACTGCCTTTACAGAATAAGTCCCTTAAACTTCAAACATGGAAATGGGGTTTGCTTGTCCTGAGTAGCAGTTTATCATTAGAAAGATTTTTTTTTTTCCCTCTCATGTGTGCTTGGTGTTGCATACTCAAAGGCCAACACATTACACGAGTTTTTAAAYTTTCCTAATATCTGTCTGTCTCCTAAGGAATAACAATCTGGTCTTTCTTGATGGAGCMATGTATTGCTGAAAGAACTTAGGCAAATACGAAGACTTTGATGTTGCATGCTTAATTSAGATGTATTTCTTTGCTTTTTAGATGAAGTTGATAGTCTTTTGTGTGAAAGACGAGAAGGTGAACATGATGCTAGCAGGCGTCTGAAAACAGAATTTTTAATAGAATTTGATGGTGTAAGTATTAGTTCTGTTATTGTTTGAATTAGCTAAATTGGCTAATGTAGTGCSTACCAGTAGGTGAATTATAAAGGATTTGGCTGCTGGGGCTTAGCTCAGGCTACCTCCTGACTCCCCATTAGTAACTAACAGYTTTTTTTTTGGTTGTTCTTAATTTTGTAGCTGCTTACTGTAGTATTCTGGAAAATACAATCTGGACTGAAAGGTAGCAATCTGGAGATGAGCTGTAATCATCTGTTAAAAGATTATGGGCACAGAAGAAAGGATAAATGGCAATGGTAAAGGAGCTGTGAAGACAAATGTTCTCACAGGGCAGGAGGGACGTTTGAGGGTTAGGGAGAGTTGAATCCGTGTTTACAGTTGCATGTTTTAGTGAATCACTTCTCTTTATTCTGGCAAAATCAAACAAGATAAAATGGCTTTTACGTAGTTTTTGATTTCTAAGGATTATGTTTCACAAGCATACACTGTCAAGGGGTGAGACTTGAGAGATGAAGATTTCAGACTGGTTCTCATATATATAATATATTGCACACATTATATATATATATGCAGAAATTATTACACACACATGCAGAGTTTTCTTTTAGAATGAAAAGGGAAAAATGAGCACAATACAAAGTTTGCTGACTTAATATTTAAGGTGTTAATATTTAATATTATACAATATTTTTGGGGAATCTTGTGAACATTGTAAGGTGGCAGTGAACTTAAATCTATGAAGAGTTGAACACTAAGCAAATAATAAGCGATAGTCCAACATTTTCTCCAAAGTTTGGAAGCTCTAAGTCTTCGTATTCTTGTGTATAAAATCATCTGAGTGAATTGGGAAGGAAATTGCTGCATCTTTCTGCTGTTATGATTATTTTATAGTTTATTTTGATTACTGTGTTCCTACAAATTAGATGGATGTCTKATCTGATTTAGTGGTTATGGATATACTTTAGTTTGAAGTTTTTATTCTTACCCTGTAGACTTCAAAACAATGTTTGGTATTAARACCCCAGAACAGCAGAAAGTCTCCGGCTTTTTCAACATAATTATGTTCTGGTGACTAAACTTTGAGTACTTTTCTAGTTTTATTGTCAGTTCTCTCCTGCAAGACTTTTTTTAAACCTTTTTCTGGTTTGACTTTACATTTATCTGAGCAATATTTTGAAGCTACTTTAAAGAGGGAAAAAAAACATATATAAAATCCCATCAGTGTGCTGAATACATGGCAAGTGTCTTAACTGATTTTGTTGTGCTTCTACTTAATGTAAACTGAAAGCTATTTTACCTTCCTACATTATATAGGTGCAGTCTTCTGGAGAGGACAGAATACTTGTGATGGGAGCAACAAACAGGCCTCAGGAGCTTGATGATGCTGTTCTCAGGTATCAAAATGGCTCATTTTTTTGAATATACACTAAGATGATATTCATTATCATGAATAATATGATAATGAAGAACAGGTTTTGCTTAGTATCTTGATGAAGTTTTGTAATAAGTAAAAGCTGTTCAGCAAGGTTAAATTATTTAACCTCTCAAAGAGGAGCTTTTCTCCTTTGAGATGCATCTGCACAATCATGATGGCCTTGGAATTTGCTGAAACAGCAGTACCCATTGAAATCAAGTTGATGTTTTTAAAATTTCTTGCATCTAATATGTTGCTTTTTTGTCATTTGGATCTTAATGGCAGAATAAAGGAGAAAATTTGATACATTTTCCAGCCAGAAATGCAGTATTTCAGATTGACCAGAAATTCAGCATTTCTTCTCTGTGAATATTGGGCTTCTGACGTCCCATGCAATTACAGATCTTTCTGTAGATTTGCCTTAGGACCTTTTTGCTTAAAGGACTCATACTTTATTACTTTTTCATTCTTGATTGAGGAAAATAGGTATGTCAGCACTGCCTGAAGAAATGATTCCAACGASTTTTTTGTGTAAAAATTCAGAGATGCTTCATTTCTTTGCTGGCAGTTAGTGGTATTTCTACTTTTAGAGTGTCTCTTCCCAAGAGGAGTCTCATAACTTCAGATAAGAGTAAGGTGGCACTAGTGACATGTGGGTATTGTTTGTTTGGTTGTTGATGGTGTTTTCAAAGTCTGTAGTTCTACTTCCTAGAATTCGATAATGGAAGTGAAATTTTGGCACTTAACCATACCAGATACTAGATTTGTATGTGCTAAATAGTTACAGAATAGTGTGAACAATGTATGCATGTTTTTTTCAGACGATTCACCAAACGGGTATATGTGTCTTTACCAAATGAGGAGGTAAGTATTGTTTTCCACTCATATTTTTAATACACTTATAATTCTTAACTTGCCCTCGTGRGTAATTGCCATTCTGTGAACTACCTGCTGGCCCAGCTTGACCATATACAGTGTGCATTAATTTTGGGAAGTTTTCTAAGTTTTTACTTTTTTTCCTGCCCGCCCCCCCTCCTCACTCATGCCAGTACCAAATCTGGAAGCAGCTACTCAGTATGTCTTGACTAGTGAGGTGTTACTTACAGACTGACAAGCATGGACTGGTCTGAAATAGGACTTGTAGGAGCATGTTTGTTTCGCTGAAGGACGGTGTTTTATTGCAGAAGATAAATRTAATTTTCTTAATGTTTTTCAGTTCAACAAGATAGCTAATGATACTAGTGGTTAGGCCCTTGATCTTGTTATTACCCATACCCATCTCTTCTGAAGAGATGATACTGTACAGTCTAATTGCACAAGCACTATAGGCAAGTTTAAACTGGTGAAGCACAAAAACCTAGTTCTTGAAACACAGTTTTAAGTTTTCAGTAAGAAGTTCTAYATCTGATAATTTTATCTTCTTTTCAGACAAGATTGATTTTGCTAAAAAATCTTCTAAGCAAGCAAGGAAGTCCATTAACCCAAAAAGAGTTGGTTCAACTAGCTAGGTAAGTGTTTTGTAACTATACTAAATAAATATATTGCTCAACTGCATTCATTCAGGTTGTTTAATTCATTCAAAATGTAGCTAATGTAAATCATCCGATAGCGACAACATGAACTGCATGCATTTTGGGAAAATTATTTCCTGTCAGGCTGTATGAAAGTGTTTTTATATATGCATATATATGTATATATATATATAGGATACGCCCAGTCTGGTTTCTGTTGTTGAAAGATGCTCATCAGCTTTTTCCTTTGAGGAGGAGGGAGAGGGATGCTTCTTTTCACCCCTCCCTCAAGGAGTCTAGCTCTCCTCCCTGATGCAAAAAGGTAGCAYTAGTTTTGCACTCAGCATTCAATTCAAATAAAAAGCAACTTTTCTTTGCTGCTGCTTTGTTAGGCTTGTTGAATGTATTACCAACACAGCAGAGCAAGCACTGGATAATTTTAGAATTGTTTTACTTTCATATTTGACTGGGAAAATATGGGTTAAGTTTTCCCTCCTGTTATGAAACAGAGTTGTTTTATGTTTTTCATCATTAAGATTGACACAGTACCGCTGTTAGTCACCCAAATCTAATAATAGGTGTGAAGGATGTTAGACTAAAAAGCAGGTAGGGCAGGAAGGAGTGAAAACAGAGCATGAGATAGCAAAAATATGCAGGTGGATGTTTTTCTTTGTGGTAGTACACAGGACGTGAGTACGGTTTTGTGTGTAGCATTTGTCAGCCTCTTAGTAATACTGCAGAAGCCAATGTGAAATCCAACTGAGTATATTCCCTCTGTACTTAAAGGCTGTTAGTTCAGGCTGCATTTAGGCTGCAGTAACAGCTAACTGGAGGAAAGCCATGGTCAGTGTCTTGTACTCTAACTGCAAATTAAACAACCAAATTACAAGTGCAGCTTAAGTACACCATTTTAAAGGGTTTAGAGAAAATACAAAAATTGAGCATCCTGCCTGCTTCATTTTCCATCTTCCTTTGTTTTTAAAGAGAGAGGTATTTAACCTCCTTTGTTTTTTGTGTTCTTTTGCTCTGCATTTTTTTTTCTATAAACTGTAACAGACTTCATGATCTCCAGAAGACTAAGCYCTTTTTGCTGCAGCTAGCCACTTCTCTGCAAGGGTGGGACGTTTTTGTTTTTCAGTTTTCCTTTAGGTAACCCGTACTACTTGTTTTACATTGGCATTTTGTACTGTGGCTTCCTGGTTCAGTGGAGGCATTTATTCTACAAAGTATATGATTCATTAACTTGGATATGAAGTTTAATTCTGGACAAGCTCCCACAGGGATTGGCTCCTTGCTTTGTTTTACTCCCTATCCTGTCGTTCTGAGGATTTGGATGATCTGACAGGTTTATGAAAATACCAAACAAACCCTAGTAGGTATTGAAAATACCTAGTAGGTTTATGAAAATACCAAACAAACCCTAGAATTTACCTTCCTTTCAGTTTACTTTGTTTCATATTAAACACATGGTATTAGGTTCTCTCATTGTACTAATTGGGTTGAAAGAGTGCAGGACAGTTGAGGTTTTGGTTTGACAGTAATCTGACTAATGCTGATAAACTGCTGGTACAGAATTCTTGTGCTTAAGATTACTTTTCATCTACAGATCCTGGTTGCTACCTTTTTTTTTTTTTTTCCTAGAATGTTGTTTGGGACTTGAATATCTGTACTTCAAATTTAATCTGTGAAAGATCACTTATAGTGAAATATAGATCACTTACAGTGAATGCACTTCTGATTTATTAAACTTGCAAAATAACATCTAAGTAATACTTCCTCTGATTAAGTAATTATCTTAATCATTTGGATTATCTCTAATTAAATTGATGTGATTTGAAGCAGGCTTTTGGTTTTTTCCCTTCCCCCTTGACCCCACTTYTTCCTTTGACAAAGAATGACAGATGGATACTCTGGAAGTGACCTAACAGCATTAGCAAAGGATGCAGCGCTAGGCCCTATTCGAGGTAAGCCACAGAGGTTTGTATTTAGGTTTTGACATTCGTGATATATTTTCTTAAATCTTTATAATTCTCCAACCTGTGAAATCAAGCTTTTTACATTGGATTTTAGTCTGTTTTTCATAATAGCATCTTTTTAAGACTTGCCTTGTACAAAACCCTTCAGTATCTCACCATGTGAAACAGGAAATTTTTGTGTCTCMAAAGGAAAGCAGTGTGAAGTGTTTCTCACTGATTTGTGGGGTTTTTAACTAGTCTGTGAGGCTGGTGTCAGTTCTGGTGTAGCTAAATTATTAATTGAATAGCMGTTACTGGTTGCATTACTTGTCTTTATAAAGGGGGCAAGTATCTTTCAAACCTTAAGGAAGGAAAACTGAAACAGAAGCAATTTTACGGGTTTTTTTCTAGATATTGTTTGAATGGCATAGCTTTTTATATTTTTAACTCTTAATGTTGAATTGTGATCCAGATGACAACTGTGAATTAAATAGTTTTACTTAAATTTGTTTTTTCTCTGACATTTCCATCTTGGAAAAAACCAGTTTTAATGTGAATACTTCTTCCAACACCTCCTCTATTTGTTGTGTTTAACTATCTAGTTATGTGTTCAGTAACCACATCTGAAGGAACTGAACGTGTTTAGTGGAGATCAGTACTGGGATTTTTGTGTAGAAAAGATTGTGAAGATTTGGTATTAGTTTTCTGTTTGTAGATGTACTGTGTAAAGGTACTAAAGGCAGGCAGAGCTGAAGTGTTCTGTAATATCAGCCTGCTATGTGTAAATAAAAGTTGTTGCAACTCTCTTAAATTATTTATGGGGAGGAGAAGTCTGCATGTTTTGTGGGTGTGTTTGTGTCATTAGTTTTTAAAACCCTATAGCATGCAGTTTTGCCAGTGCACACTCTCTTTTGAAAGTAGCTGTTGGGAAAGTAATGTTTTTTACCCATTTCCTTYCAGCTGTTGTATTTGTAAAGCACATCTTTCACAATCCTGCATAATAACTGGGAAACAGAACTGCATTAAATGGCTCTCATAAGAGACCTGTCTCCTAAGAATTTGAATATATTTATTTAGAGTGSTGGAATTAATAATGTATGCATTTAGGTATGCAGGCTTTACTTAGCTGACAACTCACTTCACACGCAAGTCCATTTCAAGAAGAGACTATGYAACATTGTGCATTTTATTTCTTTCATCTGCTCATGGTTTCCATATTGAAAAATTTATTTTTGAAAATGTTTTTGATGCCATCCTTGCCAATCCTGCCTAGATTCTTTTTCTTGTACCCTTGCAGCAAAATGTTTGCTATTACATGTTGGTACCATAACAGCATTGCAAGTTAACAAGAAAAAAAAAAAGGTGAATGATACAGGAATGTGTAGATTACATGAGTGCAGCATAGAGCAAGAAGCACTTTCACGTGCCCTGCCTGATTTTATTTCTTTGTTCTTGGCTGACTGTACCTTTTTGTTTCATGAAATTGAGTAGAGCGGTTGTAGGTACCAGGAATAATATAGAGGAAGGTAGCTCTGTTGGCTCATCTGATGTTTTCCATACTTTAGGAAGAAGGAGTAATTCTGCTACCACTTTGTACTGCATCTGCAGTAAGTGTGTGTGGGAGCAGCCTGGTTGAGGAGCTGATAAATGGAAAAGAAGGAGGCAAAAACATCATGTACCTTTCTGTACAGGAGACTGTGTTGAGGCAGAAAGGCATAATTTTTAGCTGCAGGACATTTTTTTTTTCCAGAACAGAAGTGCTTTTAACATGTTTTAGTTGTCAGAAGTGATGAAGGTTCTCTTATGAAATTTGCTGATTTTTCTTTTTACAGAATTAAAGCCAGAACAGGTGAAGAATATGTCTGCYAGTGAGGTAAGCTGTTCTAGCAGCTGTTTTGTCCCCCTTGAATAGAATGCATACTCACTAGAAACTTTTAAGGTCCCTTTTTAATGAGTAGTGTCATACAAAATAGGATAATTGTGGGGAGTATAACCWTTTTAATCACTTCTTCATTAAAGAAAAATCTTTAGAGATTGAGAAGAYCTGTCCTCAGAGATCTGAGGTTCATGGGTAGTTTGTTGGCTTTCAGGCTTAAGAGCACTTCTTTTTCTGCTGCACTAAGTCTGTTGTTCTTCCTTTCAGCTGACTGTCCTATCTTTTTCTTCACACTGAACTGCAGTATTTGTTACCTATCTGATGATGTCAGAGGCCTGGCTTTTATTTTCTCACAGTGTTATTTCCCAAGAACATTCCCAGAAGTATTATGTGAAATTACTTCTACCCTTTCCACCCCATCTTTACATAAAGCAGGTTAACTTAGGGAGAGCCTAAAACAGATTTGTGTCTGTAYATGTATAATACTTACATTCATTCACTTGGGACCATCATAAAGAAAAAGGTTAAACCCCCCACCACAAACTGCAGCTGTAAACATCAAAATGAAAAGGAAGCAGTTGGTCYTGTGTACAGWAGTTTGTTCAGGTGTGTTTGCAAYCCACAGTTACTCAGGGGAAAATGAAGCAAARCTTAATTTCTYGGTCACTTTTTGTGTTTAGCCCGARGTCGTGGCCAAGACTATGATAAGMTGGAAGGATTTGTTGCAGGAGGATAACAGTGTCTGTGATTATTTGTTGTGATGTCCTCATATGCACCGGCTCGCACCCATACTCAAGCAAGAAGTAATCATACAGTCTCATGAGCTATTCAGTAACAAGGCAGACTTTACTATTAGCAAGCGTTAGTTTTTTAAAAATGGTAAATACTGGTAGTCTTAAATTACAGGAGTCTTGCATCAGGCCATAGAATAATAGAACAACCCAGTTTGGAAGGGACCTTGAAAGATCACCTGGACCATCCTATTGTGGGAAAGGAAACTTAGATGAGATTATTTAGCATCCTGCCTAGTCCTATCTTCAAAACTTCCAGCAATAGAGACTACCACATCCTTGAGAAGGCTGCTGCAGTGAATGACTGCTTTCACTGTAAAAAAAAATTCATTCATATATGAAGATGAAGTGCTTGTAGAACGTGTTTTGTTAAAAGTGAATACTCAAGTACTTCTTGAATAAACTGAAGTACATAAACCACTTGTGACCTTGATGTCTTTCATTTTCTGTTTAGATGAGAAATATCAAACTCTCAGATTTCACAGAATCTTTGAAGAAGATAAAGCGCAGTTTGAGCCCTCAGACCCTGGAAGCGTACATTCGCTGGAACAAGGACTTTGGAGATACCACAGTGTGAAAAACTGCTTGAAGTGAAACAGTGCTGCCTGGGGAGCAGTTGGTGCAGACAACTGGGAAGCAGCCAGAGTTTACAGGACTTTACAGATATTTCAGTATCTGCATTAAAACTTGAGATTAAGAGAAAATTATACAATGTGAAATGTATTCATCACAGCCTCCTTGCCATTTAGTGAGGATTTASACACTGTAAGTAAGAGCACAACAGGACTTGACCTAAGATTCCTAGCAATCCGATTCTGGTTTGAACATTAATATATGTATATTGTTTCAGCTACAAGGYTCTGATGATATTGATCATTGGAAGACCTTTTCCCTACGTCGTGTGTGTGGTTTTTTGTTTTTAATTTTGCCATAACATTGATGAACAATGAACTTGGATCAATGTTGTTCAGTTGGAGGTTTGTAAACTTTAGTTCATTTTTTTGACTTTTTTATCCTTAATGTGCCAAATAAAACAATTTCCCTGTGCAGAGTGGAAGAGCACCATTGGGGAATTCCAGTTATTAAAATGTAAAAAGCAGCTGGTCTGTTATTATTTGTCTTTTTGTTTCGTTGTAATGTGACTGAATTGTTCACAGAACAGGTATAAAGAAGACCTTTGATAGCAGAACAGCAAAATACCCCAACATTATAAGATCAATTCAAACTGCCTTTTAAAAGAAAAATTACTAAATAAAAGAATAGACTGAGATGTTCATTTACTGGCAGTATTTTTTCTTAATGCATTTTGTAACACTCCATTGGTAGAATGTTAGCTTATGCTTACCRTATACAACTTGAGCCCAGCTGATGTTTGAGAGAGTAAGTGATACTAATTGTTGAGTTTCGGAAATGATGTGTTTCTACTCTGTGTTTTGGTCTGTTTATAACTGAAAGTAAAATTTCCATTGTGATAATCTTTTTAATCTCCACATGTAAGCATTATAATACGAGGCTACATGTCTAATACATGGCATACATTAATGTTTTTATAGCTTTCATATGTTTTGGTTTATATATTAAAGTATGAAACACTCAACTGATCTGCTTTTTTAAAAAGAATACTGCATCTTTGTACAAATACTTGTTTTTATTATATAAATGACAAGCTATTAAAAAAAACAAACTCTTAAATGATAGCCTTTAAGTACCATAATAAAGGAAAGGATATTTGCCTTTACTTCTAAAGGCCCAACATCTTGTTTACAAACTCTRCATGGATTAAACACAGATTCTTGCAAGGCAGAACACTAGTTCCTTGTCCAAGCAGGTTTGTGGGGGGGTTGGGGTTTTTTGTTTGGCAGGTGTTTATTTTTTTGGTTGGTTGGCTTTTTGTTTTTTGCGGGGGGTTTTTTTTTGGTTGGATTGTGGGGTTTTTTTGGGTTTTTTTTGTTTTTTTCTTTTTTGTTGTGGTTTTTGTTTGGTAGTTTTTTGAGGCTTTTTTTGGTTGATTTTTTTTTTTTTTTAAACTCTTCCAACTTTGTGATACTGAAAAAATGCATGTTGTTTATTGTAGTTTTAATTAAAATGAGTTGTAAGGGTTGTTTGCTTTTGGTCTTAACAGAAAATTTGTTTTACATTTGTCATTTAACTTATTTTTTGGAATTACTGACCTGAAAGTTGACTATAAATAATATATTATATGTATATATGAAAAAAGCCCTAGCTGATAGATGCAGTGTAGGTGTAGTAATACTCTTGAGAGGACTGTGCTCATTGTGTGGTATTGAGTACTAAATAGCAGAAACTTGTCAAACCTTTGAGCTGCACATATGCAATATATTTGGGATTCTTTGTTTTGTTTTTCAGCCAGAGATGCTTTTAATTGTTCTTAAGATTAAAAGCAATCAAATAAGGGAAGATTGTGTTACACTAGTATGCCTTTTGAAATAGTCTAACCAAACCACTTTAGCCTTCTAAGGATAGGACTCTCTCAAATGTATATCTTACTTACATGAWAGATGTGACTTCCATTCCCCCGATTCACTTTTCTGGAGAAATGCTGACAGTTTTCAGATTCTCAAATCTCATGTCTTGCTTTGCCTTAGTTCTGCCTTTAGTAGACCATCTCTGTCATTGGAGATTCCTGGCTTACTTGATCCATATTTGTAGTATTCTTCATAGTGCAAAAGCATGAATATTTTATAATGTATTAGCATCTGCCAAATAGCTACAACTAAAAAAGGGCCTTGGTTTTATTCATAAAGCTTTTGTAAACTTGCCTTGAGATCTGTTGCAAATGCAAACTTTGAAGATAACACTTCTGGTTTTGYGTATTCCTAAATGATTGTTATAAAAATCTTGGTTTTGTCCACCTAATTTTGTGGAACATACTGTGGAACATACTATTTATTTTCAAATACATACTTGCTGGCATGGGATAGGTACCTGAAATGTTGAGATAGAAGTCCCCATCTGCTAAAGTCGCACCAATAGCAGCAGAGTCAGAATCAATAGCTGCTACAGAAAAGGGACCAGCCCTTTTGCTTGTTCATACAACCAGTTCAGGTCAAGAGAATATGTGTGACTGGTACAGTTGCTTTTTGGTCCTCTCTTATGCCTGATTGTTTTCCACTTAATGGATGAACTACAGCCCTATAAAGTAGTTCTGGAATACAATAACAAGAAGATGTTGTCCTGCAGTATTAGTTTCCCCACAGCTGCTGGATTCTTAGCCCATGGCCAGGTGCTGTTAGGCTCATAAAGCTCCTTTAAATGTCTTGACATGCTATTTTCTGAATAGTGTCTTTTAAGAATAATTCTGTTTGCCTTAAAGGTATCTTCTCATTTTATATGTACTAAGTCCCAGCTCAGTGATCTTGTGTATGTTGGATTAACTGTATAAGAGCAGGTCTGAGGAAAAACAGCAACGGGAAAAACCACCAAATCCTCCCCCTCCAAAAAAAAAACCCCAACAACCTCAAATTACCTTATTTCCCAAGTCTATAGTACTTACATAAAACTCTGCAACTATATTTTCCATAAAAYCAAGTTATGTTCTAACACAGTGTCTCAAATCAGGATAAGCAGGACAGCAACTTGGATGCTTTTAGGCTTTG